GGCAAACGAACGTGTTAATGAAAAAGTTAGTTTAATGATAATTGTAACTGGACAGAACAATGAGTATCGTTATCAAAGCGTATAATTACAAGTTTAACTATCTGACACATCGCCACGTGGTATCAAATGCAACAAAGTTCGATGACGTCACGATTGATTAGAATGCCAAAGACCATAGTCCGGAAAAATATTTATTGCTCGTGCGTGCGAGCGCATCTATTGTTACTTGATCATCGCTAATTGACAAATGTGAAACCAATCTGCGTCATTCCGACTTTAAATCATCCTCTTATTTCACAAAATAAAGATCTTTCCTCTTAGCTTAAGTTTTAAGTCAACCTATGATTCAGAGTCTAATTTTAATCTAAATTCCATTTCGTTTTTTACCATCTAAATTTCAGTGTTCCATTTAAAAATTCAAACTTTTTCAAGTTACAACTGGTCTGGTTTCATTATTAAATATTGGCAAAGAAAAGACACGAAATGGAACGTTGAGCAAAACAGGCGAATGGAGACAATCATTGCGCGGCGCGACAATCGATTACATGATCATCGTAATCGTAAATCATTGCGTATATTAAAGCGATCAGGGACGTAAGAATACATGAACGCCCCCAAAGCTGCAGATTCTGTATTTATACACGTAAACAAATATCTAAGAGACTATTATATTATACAGGGTGTCCCAGAAAGAGTGTTAATCTATTAAGGGGGTGGTAGCTGGGGTGATTCTGAACAACATTTTTCTTTGCGACAATGTTGTTGTTGAAGCTTTGTTTTTGAATCAGAGAGCGCATATTTTAGCTTTCTAATTGGTTGATTGGCTAACCGGTTCAGCGAAGAAACGAGTTTGACCATGAATATATAAAACTCACTTAAGTATAATTAATTTATATTTAATTCGCAGCAGGTTTAGTGAATGAAATGCAAATGATTTTGTTTGAATGTTCTTGTGGATGTAATTGAAATGTTGTAGATGAAAGACACCGGGTAGATGTCTATATATAATTCACAAAGATTCGTAATAACGAAGATTGTAACAGTTTGTCGCAGAAGAATAATCTGGCTGGTACAAGTAGTACGAGAGTGATACAAAAATAAACAATTACAAGCATAATTCCTGTCGACGGAAAAGCAAGTACAGTAGGGTACAATAAATCATTAAGACTGTTTGTCTAGATTTATGACTCGTACGAGGAGCGTTGCATGGATTACGAGGAAGAGCTCGAAACGTTAGCGCTCTGTAGCGATGGATATTCGATGTTCTGTTACGAGTTTTTGAGTAGTTCTTTAATTATTAGAAATTAGAAATTTTTTGGAAATTTTGAAAATTTTGAAATTTCTGAAATATCAAAAAGTCTTAAAGATTTTAAAGATTTTGTTATTTTAAAAATTTGTTGGGATATTGAAGTATATCTGATTCTTGAAAATTAAGAGCATGCAAGAAAATAGGTAATTTAAATTTATTTTTAATAAATCTAATATGTTACTTTTATGATATTTAACCAATTTTAAATGTAATGTAATGGGGTATCAGTTTATAATATAGTGACATGTCAGTATAGTGAAAATTTAATTTTAACACTTTCGGATGACATACTAAAATTACAAAGAAAAAATCTTTTTCTTTTTTTCTTCCGACGATTCCATCGGTCGTCGGTCGTTATCCCTCTCTAATAATTGCCACTTCGCCTCACACGCTCACGCACATTTTTTTTTATTCCCTCATGTATAATATGGCAATATGTGCAATAAAGTGACATTCGCCATGTGATTCTAAGTACTAGATTTTAATAAATCTAGTTTTTTGCATAATTATTTTTATCATTATTATTTGCATGATATTTAATGTTTAATTGAAATATCAGTGACATGTAACATATTGCAAAAGATCCTTTCACTTAATAATTTTTATTATCATCATTTATTGTTATATTTTCAATGAATCTAGTAGCTTATTCTTATGCTTAATTCCATAAAAATTTTATTAAATATTACGACATATTCAAATGAAAATTGAAACATCACTCAGATTCAAGTGACGTGTCACTCAAAATTGCTGATCAATTTCTAAATCCTTCGAAGCACGTGTAAGAGAAGAGAAGAACATCCACAACGATTACCGAATAAAATGTTTTCTCGTCGGTGTCCAACGACCGACTCCTTATATCAATGCTGCGACGTTCCGACGAATCGTTTGCACGATATTACGCAACACCCCGACGAGTGTTGTGAATTTCAACGACTCCATTCTTCGACACATTATACGCGAGAGGTAGTTGTGTTCTTCGAGAAGGCACAGAACGTAAACCAGTGCCTGAACATGCACGGATTCTTCTTTAATATAATTGTTAGTTTAAAAGAAAAATATATTCTACATTGGAAGACGTTTGGATCCCAGGATCCAGATGATATGCCTGTGTGCGGATTCTACGAATCGGGAGTGGGGGTATCGGAGCCTCGTGGGCTACCCTATATAAGGTTTGCGCTCTCTCATCTTCTCTCGGTTGTTCCCCAATTCGGGCAACTTCTCCAAGACTTGGCAAACCGCACACTGTAAGTCCTATTTTTTTTTTTCTTATATATTAGCTTGACAATTAAACAACGCAATTTTCTGCATACTTTGTTTCAAAATCTAGAGGAATGAAAAAATTATTGATTCGAATTGAGTTACGGTGGTCTCTTGTTATATTACCAGGTGAACGATTTAATGTTCATATCTCTTCCTCTTTCAAACGAGAATTTGGAAATTTGAAAAATTCTACAGCTAGTCCGCGGCAATATAACGAGAGTCTATTGTATGTTGATTGAAAATTATTCCGGCTGCTTTTAAAACGTCTTCAAGTCTCGATAGTTTCGAAAATTTTTAAGATCGTTCTATTTTAGGCAGAATAATATTTGATGGTTACGTAAAAGGATTCAAATTGCGAATTCTTACTGAACTTAAATCGAATCACAAAAATAATATGTTTTTCCATTCGTTTTATTACGTTTGACGTCAATCAGAAGATAAAAAATAAAATTTCAGTGATATGGATACATTCTCCAAGGCACATTTTCCAAGTAATTCAAGCTTACCAGAGCACTGAATCACTTTGAATGTTATTTAAATTCCAGTATTAGAAGTCTTGAAATCTATAAAGATATTGGCAGCCTTTAATATCCATATTTATGTTTATATTATCATATTAAACATTACATATTTTATTTTATATTATAAAATTATTTTAACGTATGATTCGATTTCTTAATTGCCAGCCTTGTACTCTTAATAAATATTTAAATGCTGGGTGGAAAGAATATAGTAAGGTTATAAATAGAGAGTGTACGAAACCGGTCATCCTGTTGATGAGTTAATTATATAGTGACAGTAAACTGTGCAAACGGTCTGCGTAAAGTCGAAGTAATTAAAGATCCAGGATCGCGAACTAGAGCACCGTATTATTCTCGATGTTCGGGACGTAACCGGTTCGAACCACTTTTAAAATGTTCGAGCACGTGTCCGATGGGGTCGTCAGTAGCCCGTGGTAATTTCTTCGATTGATTACATGTATCATGGTTAAAAATGATCGATGATGTCCGGTTAAATTCTCAATAATCGAAGTCTGCAATAAATTCGAAACAGATTGACAAGTAAATTGTTTCACGCAAAACAATAGCGGTGTATCTTCAATTCTATTAAAAAACGAAACCATACCGCACGCACGATCAAGACGATAAAATATATTATGAAGGTTATTTTAATTATAACACAACTCGATTATTTTTGAATTTTGTGAAGGTTGAGAAACTACGTTGTTTGTTTAATTTTCATGAAAAATACATTGCGAAGGTCGAAAATTTTTCTAATTTTTCTGATACATTTTCTTAAGAATTCTTTGATTTTATTGGTTTGTTTACTTTTTCTTAAGGAAACAGTAACAATGATAAAATTAGCTCTTACGATTCTTGCACGATAACAATTAAAACGTATCAACAGAAGAAGTAATGTAAGAAATTGCAATAGTTCTTTGAGCATAGATGGAATAAACCTTGCCCCAGTGACGTCGAGGTCAGCATATGTATTTCCATTTTTCATATTACCTTACACGAGGAATCCGACCTTAGACACATATTTGGCTTTTAACCATGTTTCAAATTGGCTTTCTGTTAATAAATTACTGTCGTATTTTAATTTTGATACCTTGACTACTATCGGTTTCTAAGTTCTCAGGACCTAACGCCTCGTTTCACAGAAAGTAGATCTACAGCCTTCGTATGCAACGCGTTAAAAAAACAGACTCGTACGTAATAAATTAACATGTCATGAAATATTAAGTAGCCAGCATAACGTTTAATAATATACCGATAATATAGTAATGTTAATAATCGAGTGAAAAACACGAAGACTTAAAAAATGTTTCGAAATCGAAATTTCGTTTTCGAGATATAAGTGCTTAAAGTTTAGTTACTCGACTTCCAGCCGCCATTTTGAAATCTTGTGCGTATGCGCCAATAGCTGACTCACGATGAGGGGGTCACTGACCCTGGACTCCTCTGATAGCGTGATCTTTTGTTTATATTTGTATGTTTTTTTACGTGAGTAATTAGTTGATTTAAACAATTTGCTTCTGTTTAGTTTAAATTTGAATAAGTTTCATTTACTCTAACAATACCCTCATTCAATACGTATCAAAAACCCATTACGTACAAAATACTCCAGTCCCCCCACCCGGTTGTCTATCATTATTATTCAGAAAAACATTCATACACATAACACTGCGTGCTAATAATAAACGACAGGAATGTTGTAACAGTGTTTACAAGTTGCAAAAGATTGAAACCAGAATTTAAAGCGTGAAAGGATCACGCTTGTTTTTTATCTTTCGAAAGCCTCACATGATCAAGTAAAGGGGGCATATCCTTTCACGGTCATCGTTAGGCATATCACTAGAGTGCGACTAGGAAACGCTAGTGGAGCATTTACACTCAAGTTATCTGAGTTAGTGGGAGGTGGCAGGTAGCTTTTAACGTCTCGATTCCCCAACACTCATTTCGTTTCCACGCACCGTCTCTCGCGGTTCAATCTATTAAATGTCGATTTACAACGTGTACCGCGTAAATCGCGCGTAGAGAAAAAACTTAATCAACCCTCTCGGTTATCGAACCGACTACGCGAGTTCTTCAGTGCGTTATCATTCGTATTTGAAAAAGAAGCGTTTATTAATGCTTCAGCATCCGACAACGCTTCAATATCCTCGTAATTCCATATTCTTTAAAAGAGGATTGATTTTTGAAATTTTGAAAGAAATAAAGAAAAGTGCCCTTTGGTATCGTGACGTAGACAGATGAAGTGTGAAAATGCAATTGCGTTGAAGCTATATCTTTACTGATATTTTACTTGTGACATTCACGTGTCACGGCAATTAAGCTTCTCGTATTGGGCCACGGTTCCTTGGACTATAATTTTAAAGGAAATTCTACGCTCGTTCTTCAAGTAAGTGAATTGGAATTGTCTGTTGGGTCCATAATTGATACTTATGAAATTTGATACCTGTGCAATTTTTTTATTAAAATTCATGAAAATTTATTTTAACGACTTGAAGGAAGAAATCGTTGCAATTATTACTTGGAATCTGTTAAAATACTTGATAAATATTTTTTGTGATCCAATTCACGCGTTTTACGCTTGCTTCACGATATGAAATAATATTTGTACAGTTTGTGATCGGATCGTGACAGTACCGTAAACCAGTTATATAAACAGAAACAATTACTGGAATTAATTTTGGAGAAAATTACGGTTCATTACTTTATTTATTTGGTATTTCGAGTTATTTAAATTATACTACATCTTCATAAAGTCTTATTCTTGGTATCAAAAAACAACATGACTCATGATAAGTACATAAAATACTGACATAAAAATTCAACGGTATTTCGCTCGATCATTATGTGTCTATATTTCATAATATTTATTTAGCTTCTCCGGGTCAAAATACTTTCACAACATTCGTTTACTATGAATCAATCATTTAAGGTAACGGAAGTGTAGTGATTGGACGTGTAAATACATACAGGTGTTTGGACAATTCTAGCAATTAAACGCCCTTCACTAATTAGACGTATAAAAAGCATTCAATAATTCAGCCTGTCCAATCACCAGGTCTATAATCTAAAATAATTTTCCGTGGAATTTTTAAAAATTACAAATCTATAATTTTCTATCATCAAAGAGGGAGCATGTTGGAAACAGTAATTTGATTAATTAATTAATTATTTGATGAGAAAGGTAGTTTAGTAACGCGATAATTGAGCCAAGTATGCTCTATTAGAAGAATGGTTATTATCTAAAGCGTACGATTAGAAATCTAACTAGCTGACACATCACCACGTGGTTTCTCAACTACAACAAAGTTCAATACACTTTGGTGAATACTGTTAAACATTAAAATACTATAATCAGAATTGCGCGAGAATTTCAATAACTTCTGCATTGAAAAATACAAAAACCTTACAATTTCCAAAAGTTGCGTTTCCTTAATAAAATACAAATTAAGTACACAATTACAGAATGTAAGGTATGATCATTGTCATTGTAATCTACGCATTACTCATTAAACGCCCGCTACATTCATCGTATTAATTGCTCATGTGTGAACGGACAAGTATAGAAAGGGTTCGTATGCAACATTCTTTTTCTATTGCTATATCGCCATTTCAGCTCGCTGAATGTTTGTCGAAAACGGGCCTCAATTAGACTCTGAGTAGCCCGAGTGTGAATCTTAACGAGTGTGATGACACCGCTTTTCAAGCGACGACACCGCTCGCGTTCCGCCTTCTCCTTCCACCCCGTTTGGCAAATTTGTCGGCAACGAGACTGATTATTATGTCCTTGCGAGACTGACGATAATTACAAACCGCTTTACTTTCAGTGCCACACGCTTGACACGCCGATTAGAGCTTTCGAGAGCAGCTTGACCTCGTTTTCCTCTTCCACCGTTCGATCCGCGATCGCGAACGATACTCGATCAAGCATGACAAGCAGGGACAGGCATCAGGCCAATCGTGGGTATATTATGACCCATGCAAATCAGTACGCTGATAGAATGTAATCTTTTAACCCTCAGTGCAGTATTTTAATGTAAGATGTAACTTTGATAGTTTTTCGTTGCTTGTCACGTTCACACTGTCACTCACGTGACATCGCACTAATATTATATTCAATATTTATTAATATACAAAGACAAATAAGTGGTTTTAACAATACATACCACTTTGATTATCAACTTTGAAAATTAACAACCGTTTGACGTCAGTGTACTGTTCGGAAATCGTAAGTTGCCGAGCGGCTACAAACATAGATTTATAGATGTAAGGGCCTCGGCCAATAAACATAATACGTGTGACTGGGGGCAGGTCAACGAATTTGATTTAATTTGATATTTCTAATTAATTTTATTCTTCTTAAAGAAAGAATTTATGACGAAATCGTGAATGGTGCACCACGTGCATCACGTTGCACCTGCAGTGTACATCATCGTAGATCGCAATTGCATTAGGGCGGATCATTGAACTCAATTTCACAACGGATAATTGACAATTTAACTGATGTAGTTAATTACAGTGTGTCGTACAACGACCTCGATGCAACGTCGCAAACCATTTATACCTTTAAAAGAAGACACGATTGCACTTATCATTACTATGTGTCATTGATTTTTCTACAAGTTTCTGAAAAAGGACGTTCAAGATTTGTTCACTTTATTAGAGTGTTATTAATTGTTTACCTTAAAGAAACTTAACTTAAGAAATTCAATACAGTATGTATCACAACCCTTACGCAGGGGTGCACTCTATAATTACAATTGTTGGGCGTCAGAATGGAGGTAAGGGGATTTACTGCGTTACAGGAGGCAAAAGGGTAAATTTCCCTTCGATAATCGCAATTTACTCCTTTTTAATTTACAGCGTCTCGTCGACGCGACGGCGTACATTGCGCACGGGAGTTTTGGGGAGGGGGAACGGGCCGGGGATTGGGTCGCGGTGTCGGGTCCGGGGCTAATTGGTCGGTGAATGATTGGCTGGGGGGATCGGATCGATAACGTGTCGATATGGAGTATCGCCGGGTAGAGATGGCACCACACGGGGACGCTTGCTGGCCTTTGCCTTTTGGGGGCCTTCTGCTCTTCATTTCTCTTCCGGTTTTCTCCTGTCTCGCCCCCAGGGATAAGGGAATTTTTGGGGTGCTAGGGAAAGGGGTGTTTTCCAATCCAATCTATTTTAAAAAATTGACAAATGTAATATTAATTAAGATAATATAAAAATTTGAAGAAAGAAACTTCCATTCAGTATCTGAAGCAGCTCCATACATTAGAGAGGCTGAAGGCTGAACGATATAATTGCGGGGGAGGCGTGCCTTGGCTTAATATCGTTCTAGAAAACGACTAAATATTAGCAGACATCCTGTACCAAATAATCGTTAAATAGACGACATCACGCGCGTTTATTCGAAACTTTCCGTGAACTATTGCGAATCACAATTATTCCGGAAGATTTCGCGCGGCTCGACTTCCTCATTTACTTCGTTACACGTGTGTCTCCGAGGACGTACGTTCGCTATGATTTATTGGACACTGTTATTTTTAATCGCCTTTACGTGTTAATACATACGTCGTCGAGTGGCGCGCTGAAAATGCACGATACATTATCGTGTCGTTTACTTGAGATACGATTTTTTAATTTTTCAATTTCATATCTTACATTGTTAGCATAATATTAACGGCGTTCAAAATTACAATGAAAATTAGAAAATCTCTAAATAAAATGTTACAGGATCGCTTTGACTCAAAATTCATTTGATATTAAGAATGAAAAGTGATTTACCCCATATATGTATAATTATTTTAATAAATTACGGACTGATAATTGTCTTCAGACAGTAATGCATTTATTTAGATGTGGTAATGTTGTAAATTGAACGTTTAAACATTTGTGTTATGAGTTTATTTTGTATCTAAAGACAATAAGGGTGATATTTTCTTTAGTTTTGAAATATCATTTTCAGAAAACTACCCTTCAACGACCGTGTGGCCTAACGGATAAGGCGTCGGACTTCGGATCCGAAGATTGCAGGTTCGAGTCCTGTCACGGTCGAAAATTCATTCTTTTGTTACCTTTTTATTTTAACCATTCAAATTAATTTCTGTATTAATTTTGATCAAAATAATTATTTATTTGAAATTATGTTTAATTTTTAACTATGCGATATATCAACCTCTTAGAATTAGCATTGAGATTATATATTCTATTTAAAAATAAAAAATTAAATTAAATTAATGAAATGTACTTAACATGCAATATTATTAAATAACAAAGACCAAGGATTATTATGAAAACTAAAGATGTAATGATCATGTATTCTGTCTTGAAAATAAATTAATACAGCCTTCTCTGGAATGTGAATTCTAATATGTACCATAAACAACCAGGATTGATTTAAATTGGAAAATATTTCTTGCTGCAGGAAACAAGCTTCATATCGTGCAGTTTTACTGTTATTTTTCAACGTGCTTACGTATTTTTCATCATAAGTTATAACATGTATAAGTGTGAAATTATTTAATTGAAATAAAAATGCATTGAACGCATCTTGAACGAATGGATGGACACTTGTATGGCTATTTTTAAAATTAAAAAAAAAGATTTGATTGATAAGGGAATTGAATTTGTTCAAAACAAAGGAATTACTCGAACCGAGGAAAAATTTCAGCATCCTGGAGAATAGCAAAGAGCAGCCTTGCTTCACAGATGACTGCACCTGTTTAACACATAAACGAAACACGTTATGACCAACTTAATTGTTACGTGTTCCCACAATTCTATTATATTCGACGTTAACGTTAACCATCTATAACGTAACAGTTTGTTTTGCGCACAGTTTTCTTGCTACCTTTGACTGAATGAACTCTCCAAACCCCTTGAACCATCTTTATGGATGCAAAGTTAAATTTACAGAGAAATACTAAGAAATTATAAATATGAAAGAAGAAAAATATAATGAACATATCCACGATGGCAAAGCAAAAATGAATAAGTACAAAACTTACTGTTCCCTTATCCTTAAACAAATTTTGTTGGAATAAGATCTTTATTTCTGTTTTTCTATTTTTTAAATGAAATGTTTTTGAAATTCCATTTGAGAATTAAAATTTCCTGTCAAAATATCATCATACAATGGTCGTTTATAACAATAACAATCTTATTATCTTAAGGCAAAGAATAAAAGTACCCTCGTAAATGCGAATCACGTCCTGCTTTTCAAATCGCTTTGTAAACAGATTCAATTATCATTCTCCATCATCGGAAAGCCTCCAAATCGTTTCCTTTCAAAACGTTACGACCCACGTCCATTATCAATACAATTACAAATTGGCATTACTTAACCTCTGGATATTGATTTGAAACACGTGTTTGCGCCCAGATACGTTTTCAATGAAAATTTCGTACGCATCCCTTATGGGTCATAATTTTCCTGTCATTTCGACCCATAACAATTTCATTATAATTGTATATAAGATCTGACATTTATTTAGAAACACGCTTGCGATCAAGTCAGGCTTTCCCAGGTAAAATGGTGATGTCCGTATAATTTTCTGTGTAAGTTTCAATACAGACCCCTGTTTTTTTTGTCGACTTTCATTCGCCATCTCGGTCTGTTTGTATAAAGATTTTTTTTCATTTCTCTAATTGGAGATTTTTACGATTTGTTTCAGCTCACAAGTGAGCGCAAAACCTAGCCCCGCCGACGAGCAGCAGCAGATCAGCGCAGATTCAGCAGGAAGACTTCGCCGAGATCCAGCAATCCGCAAGAATAAGATCAATCTAATATCGATCGAAGCCCATCGTCGAGTACGAAGATTTCTCATCTAACTCCATCAACAAGCCAGATTCACCCAACTGCGCCGACATCGTAGAATGGTAGAGAGTGAATCCAATTCAAAGCACAATCATAGTACGTATCTCAGATATTAATCCTTTGTAGAGTAGTACTGTGGGGAAAGCAGTAAAAATTTTGAAATTGTCACCAGGAAAGGGGGTGGGGAGGGTAATTGAATTTCTTATACAATGTTTTATCTTAACAGTTTCTTTTTTCAATATTTATTTTTGATACTAATTTATTTGTTCTTTTTACAAAATTAGAGTGTGATGTAAAAGACGAGCGGCTAAACGGCTGTGGCTCAAAGGATCTCGAACTTGCCCGTAGGTAGAAATTCACTACAATCTCCATTTATAAGGAGATGTAGGTACTTACAGATCCCTTAATACTAATTTTGTATTCAAGTAATTATAAGTTTCTGTAACAGGTATTGGAACAAAGGGCAAGACCCTAGATCCAGAGAAAGGATCCTTCGTTAAAGCAGATTTCGAGAAAGCTATTGAACTTACCGGTAATTATCATTATTTACTTAAACTAATTTCAATACTTAATATTCAGACACCTTCAGTCCTATTTCTGTTTTCCGTTGCTATAATTACTAGTATATCTCCTATAATTATTCTTATAATTCCAGACTATGGCAAGTTTCACTACTTCCTCCTCACAGTATGTGGCTTCGTCAGCACCAGCGAGGAGATGGACGTAATTTCTATGTCCTTCATCCTCCCAAGTGCACAATGTGATTTGAAGCTCGATACCCAAGCCAAGGGATGGCTCAACTCGATCATCTTCATCGGCATGATGGCAGGGGCGTACGCCTGGGGCTCTGTCGCAGATGCCCTGGGACGTCGGAAGGTTCTAATTGCCATCTCCTTCACCAACGCCCTTTGCATCGTAGCCTCCAGCTTCAGCCAGTCCTATGAACTCTTCATGTTCTTTCGTTTTCTTAACGGCGCTGCGTAAGCATATATATATATATCATTAAATTACCTTTCCTCTATGTTCCTTCCTACACCATTAGTTAATATTTAAATTAATTTTCCTTAGTAAACATTTATACGCGAACGGTGGTACTTTTTTTCCTTTTTTCTTAGGGAAATCTTCGGTGATCGGTAGTGTATATATCGGTGTTAAATTTTCAGCCTCGGAGGCAGTGGACCGGTCATCTGGTCTTATTTCGCTGAATTCCAGCCGAAGTCTAAGCGAGGCTCGATGCTGTCCTTCATGGCTGCCTTCTGGACGCTTGGAAATCTGTTTGTTGCTGGTACGTTTTCATACTTTTTAGATTCATATGTTCCGAATATACGAATTCCCAAAACTAAAATTTCATAGTAGGACCTTCATGATACGATAAGCTCTTGATAGCTTCCTGCATTTGAAACTCTGGAGACAAATCTTTCTAAGAAACGAGGAATTATTGAGTGTCGATGACATCCATGCATTCTTCACAGTTCATTTATTTCTGTGACACATGTATAGAATATTAGATAACAAATGTATTTTTCTTTAGGTTTAGCATGGTCGATCATCCCTAATGACATCGGTATCACGAGTACGGCATTCACTTATAATTCTTGGCGAATCTTCCTGCTGATCTGCGCTGCTCCGTCGTTTATCGTCGCGGGGCTACTCCTGCTGCTCCCTGAATCCCCTAAGTACCTCCTCTCCTGCGGAAGATACGAGGAGGCACTCGATATCTTCCGTGGGATTTATGCCATTAACACTGGTAAACCACGTGACAGTTACACGGTAAATATGACATTTTTAATGTTTTTATAAGTCATTTTCGTTAACGTAACTAGACAGGCGGTAGGGTGGGCCAACCAAAACGCGGCCGGTTTTCACACCATTCTAAAATTTCATATTTACAAACTTCCAGCCCTGCTCTATACCATATTAAATAAGGATCAATAGCATCTCTGCATTTTTAGATCATGTAAAAATATCAATTAACTTTTTGTACAGGTAAAAGAATTGATCTTGGACGACTTCCGTGAACCGGAACCGACCAAGGATGGCATCGAAAAGAATAAATGTAAAACAATGCTTAGCGATATTGTAGACAATAGTAAACAACTGTTCGTTTCACCGATACTTCGCTTCACTATCATCTCCATCATCATCAACTTTACTTTTCACATCGGTTATTACGGTCTTATGATGTGGTTCCCCGAACTGTTCAATCGCTTCGACGAATTCCATCGTGATCATCCTGGTGAGGTCGCCTCCATATGTCAGGTGACCGACTATGTTGTTCAAAAGGGTTCTTACAATGTTGAGAATCTTTGCTCGGATAAAATTGGTGCCTCCGTCTTCATGGAATCATTAATCACAGTGGCGTCTGCTATTCCAGCAAATATCATTGCTGTTTTGGGAATGGACCGTCTTGGACGCAAATTCTTCCTTGGTAAGTAATAATTGTTTACCTTTAACCGCAGTTGTCCATCACTCACGCAAATGAATGAAAATTTAAATTTCCTTTTTTTGCAGTTTTTAGTACACTGTCGTCAGGGCTGTGCTCAATCGGGCTGTACTTCGTGTACAATAAACAACATAATCTCATCGTATCAGCCTTTTTCAGTGGTGTAATAAGCTGTGGTAACGCGGCCTTAGACTGTCTCATAACAGAAGTTTTCCCAACTCATCTGCGTGCCACAGGAATTGCCATCTCCATGGTGGCAGCACGTCTTGGTGGAATCATTGGGAATATCGTAATAGCTCAACTCTTGGACATGTACTGCCCAGCACCAACCTTCATCGTTGCTGCTCTTTTAATTGGTTGGTATAAGTATAATATAAATACAGTACCGAACAAGGCAGCCTTCCCTAGTGAAAGCAACTGTGTAGGGGAGAATGACTCCGCCACTCGCGTGGCAAAACCTTCACTTGGCAAAATTTTATTTAATATTTTGAAAATTTGGTTTTCTGATGTTTTAATATGACTCTTTATATACTATTCGTGCGCGAAAAGATGGCACGGCTAAAACTTGTAGAGATCTATGCCCCACTACCAGATATCCCTACTTCGCATCACAAGTATTTTCGTAATTGGTCGAATCGCTTGACGAAGAAAACAAATGAATCGGTCAAGTGTGACTGGAAGATAACTTCCAGAACCTATGGGTGGGGATTAAGCTAGACATTAATCGTAAGAGTGAGGTCAGGCGGAGCAAACGAAGATCGTCCGTCGCCTGTCTCCTATATCGTATGCCATCTTCTCGCTGAAAAACAGCATACACCTGAACCTCTTTCCCCTCTATCGCCATTTTCCCTAGGAGAGCCTATTAGACTTGGTACTGTTTTATGCATTCTTTCAATTCTCATTATTGTATCTTTTATTTTCTAGGTGGAGGATTATTGTGCTTATTTTTACCAAACACAACGCGTGAACCACTTTCTTGATACCAGTGGAGAATTACACCAGACCTGACTAACCAATGTGCAATCATAAATACATTCAAGTTTAGGAACTTAAAAAGTCTTAAAGCAACACATTATAAACATCCATCTCCGCTCACATTCAGTTCATTATAAACATGCGTATTGAACTCCACATTCCTATTTTACATATCAAGTTCAAATGGCAATAAAGTAGTATTAGCAATTGGAACATGTAGTTGGTAGTAGATTATATATGTATATGATACGAATGTGAATTCGTATGACACTTTCTTTATAAGAAGACAGAGATTTCACATACATAATTTCTATGTATTTTCATGGATTACGATATTAAGACCTGAAAATGTGTAGATTTTGTACACTGATATTAAATGTATTATGTAGATATGGCACTTTGTATCTGACAGTGTATTCCATCATATTTACAATATTTTGCCATGTACTTTTGTACCTTTATCGTTTGAGAATATTTTAATACAGTCATCAATGTTATTTGTTGTGTACCCTCGTCATTAGCGTAACTAATTGTAAGTAGCAAGCTGGGTTTGTGTCCCCCCCCCTTCCCCCTCCGCGCCCCCCAAAAAATATAGACCAAAATTCAAAAATTTAAGTATTCCAGAATCCTAAAGTTTTAAAATTAAAATAGAAAGAATAATATTAAACCCAATGATATTCTACGATTCTAAGATTCTTTTATCGATATTAGAAGCAGGTTAAAATTAAATATTAAACATTTGATATTGTTAGTAAATCTATGGCATCTGGCCCACCCCAGAAAAATATTCTTATTACGCCAATGATCTTCGTATATTTATAATATGAAGTGTAACGATTCCAAGGTATTTGAAATGTAAAACCGAAATGTAACAACGAAAAAAAAAGAAAAAAAAAAGTAAAATTTTATCTAAAATACTTCTTTTAATATACCTACTCATTAATTTCTAAATTCAAATTTCTAACTTGAAATTTTACTTCAATATAAAACTTACCTCTCGCATAAATTCTTTATTATCTATTAAGAAAAATATACATAGTTGGATAAGGATAAAAATGAAATAGAAAAATTAGAGAACAGTGTAATTTTTATTTTTCACAAGTACATTCAATACCTTAAAATTATTCTCTCATCATTTTTTCCTTTTGCCTGGCAAGTTTCTTTTTACTAAGTTTCTTTTTTGAAGGCTCCTCTTCTGGGCTCTTTATTACAAAATCTTCCTTTTCAGTCAAAATAACTTCAATATGACACGGTGAACTCATATAAGCTATACAAACATAAAAATTTAATTAAATCACTAAAGCTTTATAATTTTTGTTTTAGATGGAAATAATTGGAAATACTTACGGTTGATGCGACCATGAGCTCTGTATGTTCTTCTGCGTAAACAGGGAGCATGGTTTACTTGAATGTGATTAATTACAAGACGGTCAATATCTAAACCCCTAACATCTGCATTACTTTCTGCATTCTTTAACAGCTGCAATAGAAATTCAGCTGACTTCTTAGGCCAACGACCTGAATTCAAATATAAAAACCTTATTAACTGTAAACATTATTTTTGAATCTCACAAATATCATTTAATGAAGAGGACCTCCCAATTGTAACACTCATTTATAAAACTGTTATGTTACAGAGTTGGCACAACTAAACACACTTATATTCTATTTTGGAGAGTAGTTTTGGAATATTTACTGAACTTTACCTTGTGTGGTACCAAACTGTTTTGCTTGAGCACACCTGCCAACACCACCATTAAATCTACGAAATGGAACACACTCTTTATGTTCAATTACGTTTTTCAGGTATTTCTGTGCCCTACGTAAGGGCATGTTCTTGATGGCTCGTGCTGCTTCATGCGTGTTCTGCAAAAAAATAAGTATTTTTTTTACTGGAAATTTAACACTGTATCGATTACTAGCACAATGGATTTTGTAAACACGATCAGGTGTTTGAGGTTAATTTCCGAACGTACGATAATTATTTCACTTACTTTAAAGTGCACTCGTAAATTGGAACCTCGCGCTTTGCACGATTTGGTCGCATTTACTGGTTCATGCGAATAACGTCCCATTGCGTTCTGCAATTATAAAAATTCGATGACAATCATTCACACTGGCATCCCGTTAGGGTAGGTGTCGCGGCTTAACCTGTCGTCACGCGTATTTGAAATTCGACAATCATCGTATATTAAATATCTACATCACACTTTTTTAACGAAATAACAACTTGAAATCACATGTTCAAAGAATACACAACGTCAGGACGATTATTAATGTGTAAACGAAGATGCAAATAGATTTGAAAATTGATGTGGGTTAAGCCATACGTACCTTTTCACAGCACAATTTTAAAGGAAAAGACGTCACGTGTGCAACTAGAAAAAGACTTCCTGTCAAATTAGAGTCGCCAACATAAAACATTACTAAGAGAAAAGGGAAGGTTATAGAGGTGGCTAGGGAAAAAATGATTAATTAAAGAAATATATATTTTAATAGTAACAAGGTATATCGAAAAAAGAAAAAATACAAAAAATATCGAGAAAGGGTAGTGTTTTTCTGAAAAGCGTGCCATCCGCAGTTCACCAGAGTCCATAACTGCGAAAAGACCAGTTTTGGTTCTTTGCGCATCTCCAGTACGCACCTTCGCCCTGATTGGCGATACTCCCAAACGAAGTGGAATGCGATTAGTAGAGAGCTCGCTGCGTTCCCCCACCACCTTCCAACCTGCGCGTCACAGGGTTGCAGTTATGGACTCTGGTGAACTGCGGTATATATACATTGCGTTTAGCGTCTACACAGTAGACTTCAAAGTAGATTTGCACATAGTGGTTGCTACAATAATAGAATATAACACAAGAATTTGAATCATAATAAGATATATAATTTCTCAAATTTTCTAAAAATTGTTTCTAGAACTTATTGTTCTAACAGTTGTTATAAATCAAGAAAAAATGCATTTCACCAGTTTATTAGAATCTCAACAATCAGTACTTGATTTTTCTTGTTAACATAACACTAATTTACAATAATACTAATTTTAGAGTGTGTATACATGATATATATATATAAATATATATAAATAATATATAAGAATCTTATCCAAATTTTCTCTCTAGGGACATTTAAGCAACACTGTACGTGAGTCTGTCGTTGTCCCGGGAAGATTTGTATAACCTCATCTCATTTACAAAATATTTGCAAAAAAACATGTATATTTGTGTCATTTACTGATCATCGTTATCAAACGAATGATCTTTCAAAACAAATCATACATTTTTAAATAATTTACCAAAAGGTACATTCCATCAAGAAATTTGACAGTTCGAAGCTTGACAGTTCCGCTTCAACAACACTGACCGAAAACCACCCTTTCCTTCACTTTACAACAAAATTCACAATGAGAACGATTTCAACGGCAGTGCGTGTAGTATAAATAGGAGAATAAAATATTTTCGACTGAATAAATTCTCAGTTGATCTAATTCGTAGCAGCGTCGCTAATTGTGTATTAGTGGTGATTAATTTCATATACCAAATGTCAAAAAACAAATTAAACTTAACGCTACCACCTGGCTCGATAGAACCAGTTCCAGCTGTATCACCATCACCACCAGTACCACCATTGCCCATTTACTCAGAACCACCAGTGATTCCAGAGTAATTATCTCCCTTACATCAAACTGCAAATTTTGTAGATTTGTCCTTCAATTTGATTTCTTTTAATTGTAGCGGAGTTATGGGAAAGATGAGTATAGATGCTATTCAGGAAAGGTTAGAAGAATTAGAAATGGACGAGGAACAAAGAAAAAGACTGGAAAGCTTTCTAGGACAAAAAGAGAAAGTTGGAGAGTTGTGCGATGAAGATTTTGAGAAATTAGGTGAACTTGGTGCTGGTAATGGTGGTGTTGTTATGAAAGTTAGGCATAAAAAGTATGGACTTATAATGGCAAGAAAGGTGCAGTAGTATTTATTTATTTTTATTTGATAGTTAATGCATTAATGTAATAATAATGATTGTAATGTTTCAGTTAATACATTTAGAAGTTAAACCTGCTATAAAGAAGCAGATAATTAGAGAACTGAAAGTTCTTCATGAATGTAATTTTGCACATATAGTTGGATTCTATGGTGCTTTTTATAGGTAATATATAAATTAATAAAACTTATTGAACTATGCTGTTATTTAACATGACATATTTTACTTTATACAGTGATGGAGAAATTAGTATATGTATGGAATACATGGATGGTGGATCGTTAGATTTAATACTGAAAAAAGCTGGCAGAATTCCAGAACCTATATTAAGCACAATTACTTCTGCTGTAAGTACTATGAAATAACTCTAAAAATCATAACTTAAACCTATGATTATAAATACCAACTTACAAGCTAAATTAATCAATACTTTGTAAACATAAACATTGGCATAATTAGTAGAAGTGAAATTTCACAGTTTTAAAATTCTGGAATTTTAAACACTTGACACTTACTATACACTTACCTAAACTACATAATCCACTCCTGAAATAAATCCTAATTTCGCCATTGTTCATAAATACGTATCAGCTGTTAGTAATAAGTTTCCTGGTCTATGATTCCCCCAGGAAACTTCCTAATACAAAACCTCCTAAATTCGTCGTATATCCAAAGAAACACCCCAAGCGGTAAACTCGGCCAATACCAATAAGCACTCAAAGGCATAAACTTCAATACTTTTCCTATCCCTGGTACATACAACAGAAACCCTGTTAAAATGATTTCAAAAATCAACGAAAAATTCAAAAACCAATTATCCATTCCTTGTTCTACAATCGAATTAACTCTAGTTTTACACATGATCAAATCTATCAGTTGTGTTATAACAATGGACAAGAAATACCCAGTACGAGCTTCATTTAATAAATCCATTCTCGTATCATAAGTCCACGTCTGCCCGTAAGAATCTTGCAAATCATTAATAGATTTATTCTCCCAATCTAATCGTAGTCCTAAAAGACGATCAGGTAGAAATCCATTTAACATAAGAATCATGAAATAGGTGTAAAGTCCAGCCAAAGACTGGGTCATTCCGATCTGCCCATAAGCAATAGATATTAAGCGCTTATTAACAAGTTTATCATACTGTGGATTTCTTGGCGCACGGCGCATTATATCAGACTCAGCCTTCTCGTATGCCAGTGCAATTGCTGGAAGCAAATCAGTGCCTATATCAACGCATAGAATCATCTCCAGAATGAATGGTAGAGGTATAGCAAAAATGAGACTGCTTAGCATAGGCAGCATCTCAGGTATGCTAGAAGTTAAGGTATACACAATAGACTTCTTAAGATTGTCAAATACCAGTCTACCTTCTTCTATCCCGATCACAATTGACGCAAAATTGTCGTCCATGAGAATCATGTCTGCCGCATTTTTCGCCACGTCGGAGCCTGTTATGCCCATTGCCACACCAATGTCCGCCTTTCTTAATGCTGGGGAATCATTCACCCCATCTCCGGTAACTGCCACAATTTCTCCTAATCTCTGACAGCTTTCCACTATAAGGAGCTTCTGCTGCGGAGAAGTTCTTGCAAAGACTATCTCTTCATAGTTCCTCACAATATGGTCTAACTGTGCTGCATCCATGTTCCTCAATTCAGAACCAGTTATGATTATAGCACCAGAGTCGCTGTCACTTAATTGTGAATATGACTTGTTCTGTAGTATTGCTCTTTCATATTTTGTCTCATTTCCCTCTCCAATGATGCCAACTTTCTTTGCTATTGCCATTGCCGTCACTGGATGGTCACCAGTCACCATTATCACCTTGATCCCTGCTGTGCGACACTTTCTCACTGCATCAGGCACAGCTGGCCTTGGAGGGTCTATGAGACTAATCAGCCCAGCAAACCTATAACCCATTGTTGGGAAATTGTAGGAACTAGAAGACTCGGTATAGAATTTAAAATTTGGACCGTAAATGCTCTCAGGTAGATGAAGATCGCAGTAAGCTAAAACTCGCTCTCCTAAGTATCCCAACTCTGCACAGGCTCTTCGGGATATTGTGAGATCCAGAGGAGTCATTTCTTTTGTTTCTCCATCGGTGGTTAGTATATGGGTACAGTTTTCTAGGATTATCTCTGGAGCGCCTTTCATGATCATTGTATATCCATATTCATCCTTGTGAATGGATAGCTGGTATTTTGTTATGGAGTTGAACGGGATTTCCGCGACCTTTTGGTGCACCTCTCTGAATTTTTCTGTGGGGTGTATATGCTCGCAGAATCTGAGAATACCTGTCTCTGAAGCGTCCCCAATTACCTCTCGCTCGTCGATTGGATTCAACAAAGTGGATTCTGCGATGAACTCTGCACGAAGACAGAGAGTGGCGTTCTTGATCATTATATTGAAAGCTGGTTTCTCCGTTAACAAGTGTTTCTCAACGCCGAGCCTCTCGCCTGGGGGAAAATTGTACCTCGTATGTCCAAACCATAAATTGGAGACGCTCATTTTGTTCTGAGTCAGAGTTCCAGTTTTATCCGAGCAGATAGTTGACGTAGAGCCAAGCGTCTCGACTGCTTCTAAATTTTTAATTAAACAATTATTCTCTGCCATTTTTTGGGCTGTAAGCGTTAGACTCGTGGTGACGGTAACCAATAGAACTTCAGGCACATTAGCTATTACTATACCCAGCATGTACGTAAATGCTTTCAGTATATTGGGATCTAGTATTAATGATACTATAAAAAAGAACAGTCCGAATATTATGGATATGGTGGCAATTATTTGAACAAAGTGTCTAATTTCTTTGGCGATTGGTGTTTCTTCTTTCTCTAGGTGAGAGGTGAGTCCTGCAAGTCTCCCTATCATTGTCTCATCACCAGTGGCTACCACTATTGCATTGCCCTGTCCTTCCACTGCAAAGGACGAGAAGAAAGCTACATTAGAAGATTCCAAGGGATTCTCATCAGTTGGGTAGTTTGTTCGAAGCACAGGTTCGCTTTCTCCAGTGATGCTCGAGTTTTCTACTCTGAGTTCACGACATTCTATGATCCTGATGTCGGCTGGAATTTTATCGCCAAGTCTGATTTGTACTAGATCCCCTGGAACTAAATCTTCAGTTGCTATACGCATTTTCATACCCCCTCTTATTACTGTTGCAAATGTAGGTACCATTTTTTTGAACGATTCCATTATCTGGAAAATGGAAACTTGAATAAGTGGAGGGTAGATCAAGTATTCGCTGAAAATCTTCAAATTTTCAAATAGTTAAAAAATGAACTACCCGTAAGTGCACCCCGGTGCACTGCCCCCTTGCCCCTTTCACTGCCTTAAATAGTCAAATTGATTTTACACAGATCGTTGTAATATACTTACTTTTGTATTTTTACTTTCTTGTATATAAGCACATATTCCTGAGATCAAACATATCAGTGTAATAATAACTCCTAACCATTCGATCCCACCACCTGTGCCTTCGAGTCCCATACTAAGTCCATATAAAATATAACACAATAATGCACAACCCCATAAGAGGCCGGCGAATCCGTGAAACATACATTTCATAAATTTTATATATTCTGGCGTTACTTTCGGCGGGGTCAGGGAGTTCGGTCCCACTCTATGGAGAACATTATTTGCTTCCTCTTGTGTCAAACCATTGACAATATCTGTGTTTAATTTTTCACACAATTGTTCCAACGGAATCATGTGATCTTTGGTATTCAGTTCTTGGTGCAGATCCTCTATTTCTTCTTCAGTAAGCTTTTTCTTGATTATTGGAGTAGAGCTTGCTTGTCTCATTATTTTACTTGCTCGTTGCATTACATTTAAATTTAGATAAACGGAGTATGAGTTAAGAATATTTTTCACGACGCTTTTGGAAATCGATCTTCTTCAAAATTCAATTTTTTTTTATGGCTGAAGTCATGACCTACTTGTGCAGGAAGATTTTAAGTTTATGTAATTCTTCTTTTTTTTTAATTATAACGAATAGATTCATCACGAATAGTACATACATATTATGCTTAAATATATATTTTAAATTTTGTATACAATTATAATGACATCGTTTCAGGTCAAAATAACCCAGTTAAATGATGCATATTGGTGCTTTTTATAGGTATTGAAAGGTCTGAGTTATTTACGAGACAAGCACGCAATTATGCACCGAGATGTAAAACCTAGCAATATTCTGGTAAATAGTGCTGGAGAAATAAAAATTTGCGATTTCGGTGTTTCTGGACAATTAATTGATTCCATGGCTAATTCGTTTGTTGGAACAAGGAGTTATATGTCTGTAAGCGATTACCAGAGTAAATATGATTATTACAGTAGCGCAACCATAATTGTACAATAGAGAGGGTTACAAAAATTTGTTTATATCAGATTAGTTTCCTTTCGTAGTTCCCTTCTCTGTTGCGCTACTGGATTATTAGTTAAGATTATTACAGATTTTGATTATGTTAATTTATTTGCAGCCGGAGAGGCTCCAGGGTACACATTACTCAGTCCAAAGTGATATCTGGTCCTTAGGATTATCACTTGTAGAAATGGCCATTGGAATGTATCCAATTCCACCACCAGACGAGAAAACTTTAACTACGATATTTAGCACGCCTCCAGGACAACTACCAGATACCGCTGCTACGAATCACGCTTCTACTCCAACTACACAATCACCTGGTCACAGTTAGTTTCATTTCTTTTATATTCCTATTTCAATTCGGCCAAATATTTTTTCATTGATATACTTTAGATACTGGTAGTCCGAGACCGATGGCTATATTCGAATTGTTGGATTACATTGTAAACGAACCACCCCCAAAATTGCCCTCTGGAATCTTCAGCGATGCTTTTACAGATTTCGTTGATCGTTGTTTGAAGAAGAATCCTGCTGAAAGGGCAGACTTAAAAACACTAATGGTATGTAATTTAATTGTGTGGTCATTTTCTATTTAAATTAATTATGGTTCTTGGTCCTTAGAATCATGAATGGATAAAGAAAGCTGAATCCGAGAACGTGGACATCGCTGGATGGGTATGTCGCACAATGGATTTGCAACCCACTACTCCAACCCGTTTAGCTAACGTACAATCCTGAATAAATGTCACTCTTACATACTTGACTACCTATATACGCGTTCAGTACTCTTAAGTGGAGTTTTAGGTTCTTTTTGTTTAATTCATATAAACAGTGGCGTTTGTGAATTTTTTCTTTTATATTATAACGATCCATGAAATTCAAGTCTATCGCGATTTTAAAAACAGACTTATTGCCATTAGTTTTTTTATATATCGTTGCTCAGTTTGTTAAGCTTTGAGCAATAGCATTTATTAAAGTAGACTTTGATATACGTATCAAAAATTTATTTTTTCTTTTTTAGGATGCAAGATGTTAGTTTTTAATTATACCTTTATATATTATATTATGTTCTTTAAATGATTATCAAATTTAAGGCATTAAATTATATTGTGGTCTGGTTTTGAAGTCGCGGGTAATAATCATGTAAGACTTAATAATTTTTATATGGTACAGTGTCGAGTACGGAGGCCTTCTAGAAGAATTCAAATTCAGAATTTTAACGTTTTTCAATTCATATTTCAAAGTTTTAAAATCCAGAGTTTTAAGTTTCAGAAAGGTAAAGTTTCTAAAAATATTAAATAAAATTTTCCCGGGTAAATTTTTATCCACGAACGACGGGACCTTCTTCCTCTATATCACCATTTCCCCTCGGGAGGTCTTCATCCTCAGCGCTATACACACCATAATAGAAAATCCAGAGATCTATATATATTGACATATTTGCATGAAATACGTCACTGTGCTTAAATTTTATTTCATTTTATACACGTTTTGTATTCTTATCTTATGATTTTGTTGAAAGTATGTAAGATAAAGAATTTATCCATATAAGTTCAACATTATTGTACACTCATGGGCAAATTGTGTTCCCTATAATGATAACTAGGATCCATAAATAGGCATCGGATTTATAAGAACATAATTTGATGAAGCAAGCGAAGTGTTGGCTAGTGATCAAGTTTACTAGTATAACATTTGTACCTGACATTCATAGAACACTATACATATTGAAAAAAGACTTTCGTTCTATCATTGCTATTTTTTACTAAATCAGTCAACGGTCAAGCATGATTTAAAGTCACTGTCGAATAAAGTAGTATTTTAAACAGCAAACACAAGTATTTGAAATATAATTACAATAAAGCATTATTTATAAGGGTTACATCACCAGAAATGTTCTTTATTGTAATTAATTCTGAAATACTATTTTATTATGCGTTAATGTAAAATCAATGTATAGTAAAATACTACACAAATTTTTGTTAAGTATTTCTTTATTTCTGACAACATATACATCATATTGTAAACATTACAGTTTGTAGGTGCAATTGACAAGATAATTTTTGATGCGAGTCCATGTGTTCACACAATAATGAATAATATACAATTGTATGTATTGTATAGCTGTGCATTGAGTCTTTCTTGTGCAATTTTTGTGAGACATATTTGAAAGATCAGCCACCTGTTTGGCTACTTTCTTATTTACACATATATTTCAGTAATTAAGTATAATTAGAAGATGTTAATAATTTAATTACAACTGTGAGTAAAAGAAATAGGTATTAAGGTTTAAATTTGATGAACCTTTATTCAAAAAAATATTCAATCAAAATGTTATAAATATTATAAGATACTATAAATGGTAGAAATTCATCATTTTGATTAGCAGTGATTTTTCTTTTTTAGACAGATGGTAAGAATTTGGTCCATATCTGTAGATCATAGATAGATGTGTAATATTGTACAATCTAATATACATAGTTGCTTATCATTGTAATATGCTGATTAAAAGATTGGTGTAATTAGGATGTGCTTTTGGGGTGGACCAAGTCCTTTAGATTTGCTGCCAGTATCAAGTGTTTAAATATTGTTTATTATAATGTTAATTTTTTTTTAAGGGGGGCGTGCTGACCTTGACCTCTACCTAGTTACGCCAATGAATAAAAAAATGTCTATATGTACATAGAATAATACTAGTGTAAGCATTCTTATTCCGTTGTACGCAAACGTCACTTTTCGTCTATCAAAAAATATCACAATAGAATAATTAATTGGAAAGATTCATTAAACCATTATAGATGTAGTAAATATTTCTTCAGATTATATTTATGTTTGCTTAGTCACTACTTTTTTTACATAAGCGAATATGATTGTTAGCCTTTTCCGATTTGGCTTAAAATATATCGGAGTGTACTATGAGCGCATTGTGATGTTTACAAGCACAGTAAGGACATTCATGTGCCTACGCGTAAGACGCCCAAGAACTGACCTTTCGTATTAAATGTATTTATGTCTGACAATGACTTTCATGATATATTGTAAACAGAGACAAGTTTCAATAGTTAAGTTCTGTTAAGAAGATAAAAAGAAAAAAAGAAAAATGTAAGATACAATTTTACTCACTAAGCAGTGAATCTTAAAGGGATAATTACTTCTGGCACTTATTAAAAAATATGTCAATATTCCTTGTTGCAAATTTCTGCATAATTGCTGTTGTATTGATTCACTGTCTAAATGTTGTAACTATTTAACAAATAAATTTATCCCACATTATGGGTTTCAGTCTTACATCTGGGCACTTATTTTTTAACAATATATTCAGCGTCTTAATCACGGGCACCCAATACAACTCGCGGGTACCCAACGGGCAATAAGGTAAAATATTAATTTGAAAGTTGCTAATAAAATTCTTATATTATGTTTTATTGAGGTACAAATGGTGTACAAAATCTTTTACGCCTAAAAAGATTTACATTAACTACTTGCAAAAATGGAGATACTTTATCAAACTTACAAATATTTACAGAAGTTCCGCCAACAAATACTTTCAAAAGTGTATTGTTAGTTCGGCTAATTGTAATCGTAGCAGCTTTGTTTAAAGTTATATTTGTAACACCACGGCATTCTGATAGATCCAATAATTCTAACTGAGGTGCTGATCCAATAAGGTTGGTCACTGTTTTGTCAGTAAATTGGCAGCAACGACATTCGAATCTTTTTAAATTATTCATGTCAGGGAAATTCATGTCTGTTATTCTTTGCAGATCATTAATTATCAAGACTTCTAGCTTTGGTAATGTTGCTATAGCTGCTATACCAACATTTTTAACGAAGAAACATTCTGCAACATGCAAGACATTATGTGTAGTATTGAACATCATGCTCGGTACTATACAAATAAATTATTGTAAAGGAATATTTAACTCACCGGAAATATCTACATAAGTAAGTCGTAGACATTTCAATGCCAAATTAGTTAGAAGTTCATCCATAACAGCAATATTCATACTAATTTTTAAAATTTCAAGATTACTTAATTGCGTTATATGTAACATATCATCTGATTGTATCAAATATGAAACATTAGAAAGTTCTAATGTTTTCAAATTAACGCAATGTGTACCGATAGTCTGGATGACGTTCCCAGATATGTCAACACATTTGCTTATCGTAAGAGATTTCAAATTCTGTAACTTTGCAATTGCCTGAAAAAATTATTAGAATCATTAAAGAAAATAAAACACAATAAATTTTATTGTATTTTATTTTCTTGCATCTTACAATTAGGCAAATTTATAAATTTCAAAATTCGGAAAATTCAAATTTTCTGTCCTTCACTGCATTAAAATATTTTTAATTTACCTGCGACAATAAATGTCTCTGAAGACATGTACAACATTCCAAAACAATTTCTTCCATTGTATCTAATGGCAAATACCCTAAACATTTCCCACATATTTTACCAAAGGCTACTTTGAAATACCGTAATTTTGGATTCACTTCAAACAACTTTTGTAAATCCATATCACAGATGTGCGTAGTAGAACCAAGACTAAATCTTGTGATATCGCGACAATTATTTGTCAAGGAATTTATACCGGATGCAGAAACAGTTAAATCAGTAACATCAATTCTCTGCAAATTTGGACATAATTTCCCAACAATGGTTAATGTACTTTGATTTAATTGACAAGGGAATTGTGATAGATTTATTTCAGTCAAAAATCGGCCACATCGTAATAATACTTTGCGAAGGATTCCAGTATTAATTTCTTTTCGTTTTGTGTTAGGAAAAAAACCCCAAGTCGAACATGATAAATCTAATCTCTTCACACTGCGCCAAGATTCTTGACTCAATGCCCTCCATCTTTTGCACACTATAATTAAAGAAATTACTAGGAATAATGTAATAAATTCATTTATGATATTGTAATATTTTCTGGATTAAATAAATAAATAAATATTCTTACCTCTTTCTATTCTAATTCTATCTACAATTGGCAGCTGAAGAAAGATGTGCATCAAACAATCGTCATTCAATGTTTGAATACTAATATCTGTAATGTCATTTTGCAAATAATCTTGATTACATTGTTCGTCAGCCTGTTTTTTGTCAGCTTTGTATTTGTCTTTTGTATTGTAATATTGATTTTCTATGTTATCTGGTTGATGCCAGGAATCAGCTGGTACCACTCTTAAATTTCTGTTGTGTAATTTTATTCTCTCCTCGTATCGAGCTCTATAAATTATAAACTATACAAATTTGGAAATTCAGATATCAAAGTCGAAATTTCCAAATTTTAACATTTTAAAATTAGCATTACGATTCTGTAATATATAATTTCATCTTCATTTACCTTATAGCTGCCTCCACACTGTTAAATGTCAGAAATGCATAGTTACACGATTTTCCGTGGTTTCCTTGATTTCTTTGTAAATAACAATTCTCAACATCTCCATATTCAGAAAATAGTTTGATGAGGTCTTTGTATGTTGTCTGAGATAAAACATTGTATTATTATTTTATATACATTTACTCACAATGCATTTTAATTCTTCCCAAATATCTTTAAATGATTTAAGAAGTTTTTTTATTATATACTAATACACATTGTATTGCTTATAAATAAGCAATTTTTGTATTTATTTCCCAACTTTATGATTTTACTTTATATAACTTTTATACATGAAAATATACATATACAAACCCTTTCTGCCAAATTGCTGATAAATAATTTTCTAATTGGCACACCATCTTCGGTTACGGGTAAAAGATCCACAGTAAACGCAGTATCTATAGTACAGGAATAAATGATAAATAAAATAGAAATTAACCAAATAATGTGACAGTCATTACCTTCAAGAAGAGAACATTGGTGCAAATTGTCAAAAAAATCTTCGTCCGTGTAATCAGTCATTTTTATGTTTAACAGTTTGTTATCTTTTGGATTTTATATTTCTTGTTGAGTTTTTGCTTCACTTTCTTGAAATCCATAGCATGATGAGTAAAGGTGTATTATTGTTGGTATGTATCATTTATAGTAAATGTCACGACAGAAAAATGCTGACGAATGAACGTGTTTTTGTTCGTTCCGCACTGGTTGGTTTTGATTGGTTCTAATAATTCCGTACCCAAAAACAACGCGCATGCGTCATTTGGTACAAGTGACATAAGCGAGTGCATGCTTTAGCAGACCGCCAGCAGTGGTTTATCCTTCTTCATTGTCCTCGGTCCTCCCTTCCCGAGTATTTTTTTGCCTTTGTGGGCCTCACGAAGCAAAACCCTATATCTCTTATATTCCTGCAGCCCTTACATCCCTGTATCCCTTACATCACTGCATCCCTTACATCCCTGCATCCCTTACATCCCTTACATTCCTGCATCCCTTACACCCCAGCACTCCTTATAACCCTGTACCCCTTACATCCCTGCAGCCCTTACATCCCTGCACCCCTTACATCCTAGCACCCCTTACATCCCGGCATTCCTTACATCCCGGCATTCCTTACATCCCGGCATCTCTTACATCCCTCCATCCCTTACATCCCTTGCATCCCTGCATCCCTTACATCCCTTACATTCCTGCATCCCTTACACCCCAGCACCCCTTACACCCCTTACACCCCTTACACCCCAGCACCCCTTACATCCCTGTACCCCTTACATCCCTGCATCCCTGCATACCTTACATCCCAGCATCCCTTACACCCCTGTATCCCTTACATCCCTGCATCCCTTACATCCCTGCATCCCTTACATCCCTGCATCCCTTACATCCCTGCATCCCTTACATCCCTGCAGCCCTTACATCCCTCCATCCCTCCATCCCTTACACCACTGCAACCAAGATATCTAGTTTTTGACTTTCAGCGCCCTCTGGTTTCGAAAGAAGGAACTAAAGCTTGCCGAAATTTTGGCCCTCTAGCGGCAAAAATGTGAACTAAATTTTCGATGTCGAATCAGCGCCCTCTGGTTTCGAAAAAAGGAACTAAAGCTTGCCGAAATTTTGGCCCTCTAGCGGCAAAAATGTGAACTAAATTTTCGATGTCGAATCAGCGCCCTCTGGTTTCGAAAAAAGGAACTAAAGCTTGCCGAAATTTTGGCCCTCTAGCGGCAAAAATGTGAACTAAATTTTCGATGTCGAATCAGCGCCCTCTGGTTTCGAAAAAAGGAACTAAAGCTTGCCGAAATTTTGGCCCTCTAGCGGCAAAAATGTGAACTAAATTTTCGATGTTGAATCAGCGCCCTCTGGTTTCGAAAAAAGGAACTAAAGCTTGCCGAAATTTTGGCCCTCTAGCGGCAAAAATGTGAACTAAATTTTCGATGTTGAATCAGCGCCCCCTGGTTTCGAAAAAGGAACTAAAGCTTGCCGAAATTTTGGCCCTCTAGCGGCAAAAATGTGAACTAAATTTTCGATGTTGAATCAGCGCCCTCTGGTTTCGAAAAAAGGAACTAAAGCTTGCCGAAATTTTGGCCCTCTAGTGGCAAAAATGTGAACTAAATTTTCGATGTCGAATCAGCCCCCTCTGGCGGTGAAAAAAGGAATTAAATTCATCACGTTTTTTCTATCTCTGTGAGGTATATAGGAGATGGAAGGACGTATGGGATGCAGGAATATAAGAAAGTAACAAATATAATGTAAACATAAGGTTTTATTTTACTGAAACCTTAATACATACAAAGAGCAGTATTTAATATGTATAAATAGTTTTATGACTAACTTAACATGGTTTTCGACTTAACAAGATTTCATTTGTTTACAAATTTAAATTCATAAATAAATAATTAATAAATTAGTGCACTATTATTTACAAGTAATAAGAATAATAGTAATAAATGCCGATGAAAAATTAAATCTAGCTTGTTGAGAAAGAACAATTAATTTAAAAATAATAAAGTTCTAATAGAATAATATAGTAAATTAACAATATAATCCTCAAAACTATTAGATCTTCTAATAATACAGAAAACAAGTGAAAACAATTGTCAATAAAAACTTATTAATTAATGTAACTTCTACATGTACATACTGATTCGCAAATTATGACAAATAACGGTACAGAAAAAAACTTGGTAAAGGCCTCATTGTAAATCAATTTTAGGGCGCAGCAGTGATGAATGCAAATGCATGATTTAAATGGATTACACTTATTGATATTCTCCTTACATTTCAGCCAGTCTGTCATAACTGGAATTGGCGCGATAAGAGTACAATTAGTGCGCGAAATTTAAATGCGTTACAAGTCATACTTCATTTAGATACAAAAAACACAAAACCAAACAGAAATAATTTTCAAATATTAATTCTGTTTATGCATTGAATAATAAAATAAGATAATACATAATATTAGAGAAAACTGATCTTTATATAAATTTATGTGTAATGTACTTGAATTAGGCGCTAATATGCAGAATCATTAAAATAGATCTGGTACAAGATCATCATCGCCGTAATCACTATAATCGTCTGCTCCAGGTGGTACAAATATTCCCCCAAGTACATCGGAAAGATTTTCGCCGAGACCCATCGTCGAAGCGATTCCGAATACGAGCCTCATCATAAGTATTCTCATAAAATTAACCACATTAGTCTCTTTGCTTTGCAGAGAGACTTGTGTTGTTTTCTTTGCCCGGCTTTCAACGCATTGAATCTGCCGAGAGAATTCTTTTCTTTGAATCATATTTCAATATCAAGATAACTTGTAATGTGTATTCAAAATAAAAACCTAGATGTTATTTTATCTGTTATTTTACTCAGTCGGTACTTACGCCAAGACAAGCAAGAAGAATTACCATGAGGGCGAGCGTAACTCTCATGTTGCACTTCCGACACGTTAATCACTTCCGTCGAATACTTTTTCGATTGTCGATGAATTAATTCTTCGTTTGCGTAGATGTAAACTGTCTCGACTGAACCCGAAGAGCGAGCAACGAGAACTGAACGAATCGTCTTTTAGGCGGGAGAAACGCGTACCGTTCTTATTCTAGTTTCAAAGTTCGTCATCGATAGAGCACGATCGAACAGGTGAACGATGGGGACAAAGCGAAATAAGTGGTAGTAACCATGATCACAGAACCGAAGTTATTCTACGGTAACGGTACACGACAAAAAAAGGCATTCAGGCCATCTCTTCGGGTTATGTGATACGTGCTCGGCCGGTACGTAGTCACGCTAGCGGAGGATCTCTATTGGAATTGAGTGCGTGAAAATGGAATTGTTTTGTGAAAGTGTCAATAAGTGACGGGTTTGAGTATATTTCTAATAGTTAATGAATACTGCAAACAAGATAAACGGTACTTGCTAGTATACTCAGGCGTAGAAGAAGTACATTCAAATCTTTCAAGTAATAGATTTCAAGTATTATAGCAAATAGTGATGCCCCTTTCCATAGGGAAACCTCCATACTCGAGTGTAATCGTGAGCAATCATGTTGCACCCATTTTGACTATCAACATAATTATTATTAAAACCTGATCGCTTTCCTTGTTAATTTTGCAAAGAAAAAGTAGAGTTTTAATAGTTAGAAAAAAGAATAACAAAGACACTTGAAAGATTTGTATCTGTTAGATAATTTGAATGAAGACGGATTTTCTAAAGAAGGTTGAGTACGTATGCATCATTTACAGGTAATTTTGAAGGTACTTAGCCTGAATTGTCTATTTTATGACTTTGTTCCGATTATTATGAAAAAATGAACTTTCACGATAAATGCAAGAATATGTTAAATGTAGTCAAGAAATTATACTGAATTACGGATTATAATGCTGATACAGATCGTTGCTTGTCAAACATGCGAGACCGAAAATAATAAGCTTATCGTTGATATTATGAATATGTACTGTAATCTATATGCTTAATACAATATATTGTATTAAAAATGTAAAATAAATAATTGTAATAAAAACTTCACATTTTTAAAAGACCATGGCAATTTATTTATTACGTTTTATTTTCGTTTGATCGACATTAGTGAAGTTTTTGAATTTATGGTTCATTGTCGTCACTGTACCATTATCATTTGTGCTTGGAATGGTGCTTTGATTACCATTGAATCGTTTACGAGCATTAAACTGTGCGTTAATCATCCGCCATTCTAATTTAATGAAAGATTAACGTCCGCTGTAGATAAATATACTGTTGTAGAAATAGATAAACATTGATTGTTTCCGAAATTTTAAGATTTTAAAATTTGCATCTCGTTTTCGGTAAATTTCTTAAACTGAAATGGTTGTAAAATTATAACCAGGTTAAAATTTTTTTATCTCAGTTTGGTTTACTTTTGTTGTTTACTGTATATTTGTTAAGTAAAGTATATTCATCACCTAAATGAAATATATGAAAATCATCTAAAATAGCCGATTACCAATGATGGCGGACAATCGACGTATTCCAACTATTGAATGGAAATGAAAGTCGTCCAGAGGCATCGTGACGATGACCGAGGGTGCGATCAACGGCCACGAATGACGATGCTAATGACAAAGTCCGATTTGTGGCTAAGACAAGAGAGGATTCAGCTGGTACCGATGGTTTCCTTTGGAATCAGCGATCGAGCCAACACGAGGAGGAGGAGGAGGAACCTTTAATGAAAGGCAGGATGCGCTCGGGACCGGACGTGATGTACTCTGCATACAGAAACAGTTCCAGAAACGAAGGAAACACTGGACTATGATGATTGGTACTCCCCTCCTTCATCAAGATAACCGTGCTCTAAGTATGACATGCTGAGGAAGACGTCACCGGATAAATTTTTATGCTTTCTCAACAGTTTCTGCATTTAATTATGGGCACAACCATCATTCTCGTTCTCTGCAAACCGGAAATTTCTCCATAGGGCTTTAGAGTCCTTTTCAAACCATTTACCTGCAAAAGGAAAGGAATTGTTATTAGTTACAATTCAAGTCACAAATGAAATTAACATTGTGTATAGCACAGAGTACGGTAGTATTTCTTAGGGAAAAAGTGATTGGAGATTTTTAGATTAAAAAATTTAAAGTTAAATTCCGAAATTGGGAAATTTTAAAAGACTGAAACAGCTAATGATAAAGTCTTGCCCTCCAACATCGTCATTTTCCCTAAAGAAGCCTATTATACTCAATACTATACACGTATACAATCTACCTTACTACGTATTGATAACCGATTTGAAACAGTTGTATTGGTCATTTTCTTAAACATCCCTTTGTACGGAGGATAAAGACAACGTCATCTGTATTTGACCGTAACAGAGATTTTCATGGAGGGTTGTGATTCAGTAACACGAAACGATCAATACTTATCAATGGAACTTTCTATTGCAACCTATACAGGTGAGGAGAGAATGAAGTAAGCGGGCGTCAAGAGTTCATAGACCTAGTCGGGCTATTATTTAAGTTTGTAGCTATTGCGTGCCATGTATCATTACTGCAAATAAAAATATTTCATATAAGCAAAAGAGTTCATTAAAAAATTGATACAATCCTGAAAATTAAATAAATAAATAAAAAGATAAAGAAAGTAATTACAGCGTTGCTCATTACCATTACATCAAGAATCATTAGTCCTCTTCCAGTCCGTCTAGACACGAGCGGAAATGGTGTTACAAACGTACATTTCCTCGAAATGCAAAATTCATGTTACGTCAATTTAAAAATCGATTATTATTGACAGAAGATCGTTTTCCCGTGACGTGGGTGCGTTAATGGGATACATACGTGTCGTCAAGCATGAAACAATAGTACGCGTATCTGTCCTTGTCCGATTCAACAAGGCTTGGAATCAGTTCCTCTTTCGCGCTATCCTTCGAGAGAAAGAGGATTCTCCTGTTCGGCTAGTGCGTGCTTCACCCTCACCGATGACACTTTGTTCGGTCTCCGCGACACATCTTTTCCTCGCCGTCTCGCCTCGGTCTTTGACAAAAATGTCTCGAGAAAGTTACTTCGAATTTTATTAAGTTCCTTCTTACTTTACGATGCAACTGGATAAGCGAATTATTCTTAAGCTGTTATCTCGATCGACTTTCATTGGTACACAGTGAATTTAACTTGATATTGTGACACGTGATTCTGTGGAAGAATTTCTTGTAAGAGATGAACGCGGAGGAGATAAAAGTTGGATGCTTTCAAGTAGTTATTGTGTTGCTGTTGGGTGTTAATTATGCGATCGTTGCCATGAGCCATGCGTTGCCGATTTTTCACAATTATACACCGAAGTTTTATTGTCAGGTAAGGTTTTTAAAATGTGAAGAATGTTGAGAATTTATTTCTGAGACGTGAAAATTGAAACTGATTAGATGCGATAGATGGGATTCAGTGCGACGGTCGATGCGATGCGATTTTTCAACCGCTTCCGGTAACCTGACAAAGAAATGTTATAATCAAAAATTGAACAAGGATATTAACTTAAAGTGACACTGTCAAAGAATCTTAAATAAACAAAAATAGATATTATAAAAAGTGGAAATAATTTCCTAGTTCACTTTTTATATAACTTGTAAGTGATAAGAATTGTTAGAACAAACTTTCCTGCTGTAGTTTTGTTTGGAAACTCACACTGAAGTAGATATCACGGTTTATTTGGCAAGTTTTGTCTGATGTAAAGTTTGAAACCGTTTTCAATAGTGTATATGCTTATACACGTGTAGCAGAATTCAACAATCAGTGGTAACCTAATTCATTTGAATAAATATAATTATGTAAATTTGTTTTTTTAAATTAAGATAAAAATTAATAGGTTGCAATAGGATGTACTGTGCAGAGATGAGAAGATGACGAGTGGAAGGATTCGGGGTACGATTGGTCGTAGTCGGTAAGTCACACCTCACGCACACGCATTCTAGATCGTCGCGTGTTATTGGCCGATGCGGTCAATGAAACTTTGTGACAAAGTGAGAGGATCAAATGTGGAGACAGGGCTGAGCTTGTTAAGTGCTACCTTTACCCCTACGATGTCCCGCTAGTCATTTTTCTATCTCTGCACAGTACATCTTATATGTATGTATACTAGGTCGCCTTGCCTGGTTTAGGTAAAATTTTGAAGTCTATGCAAGCATTTTCATTTACATATTGCAGGTAAAGAACGGAACGAAACGAACGTATGGTTGCCAAGAACTCAGCAACGTGACTGTTGCAACCAACCAGACTTCCGGTCTGACTGAATCACCGGATGCAAATTTGTGTTTTGGCGACTATCAATTTGCAACCGAGTTCGGTGAAAATAGCGTTGTAACTGAATGGGGTTTAATATGCGAGAAACAATACTTGACGTTTCTTGGACCAACTGTATATTATATCGGTGTTTTGATGGGCGCATGGATTGCCGGACTTTTGGCAGATCGTATCGGAAGACTTCCGGTTCAAGCGATATGCCTTTACACTCAGGGTACGATGGCTGTGGCATTGTACGTCGTGCAGGTAAACTTTTTTATAAGATTATTACAAATTTTAAATGAGAAAAAAATAACAAACAAAATATTCTTGTTTTATTTTAAACGGGATGTTAATTTCAGAATTATCCGACGTTTTTGGTTCTTCGTGGTCTGCAAGGGGTCTTTGTTCAAGGTCTACAAAATTCGACATACATTCTTTCCTTGGAATTGTTGCCTGCAAAGGCTCGGACATTCGTCGCGTTAGTTATGCAAATTGCCTGGGCTATTGGTTTACTCCTTTTGGCTGCACTCAGCTACGCCATACCGGACTGGAGAATTTTACAGTTGGCAATTTCGGTTCCCACTGCGGTCACCGTACTTTACATATGGTAATCAACTAATTATTCATAATGAGATAATTACATTATCATTACCAGAGCTGTTCATAGAGATTACATAAATGTAATTTTATTTATAGGATCATTCCAGAATCGCCAAGATGGTTGATAGCAAAGGGAAAAACAACAGAGGCAGACATGGCAGTGGAACGCATTGGAAAGTACAATGTCTGTTGCACTAAATCGCGAAGGGAGAATGCTAAAACGGAAATGAGCGTTCTCGAGAATACAATTCCGGTGAAACCAGAAAGAAAGTCTCGGGTTTCGTGCACGGATTTGAAGAAATCAAAAACCGATAATGAACTCAAAGAAGAGGCTGCTAATTTGCTAAGCAGCAGTGCGGATGCATCTGAAGAAAAAGTTCAAAGTAAAATAACTTCGAGCAATATTTCAGATATTCTATTATGAACATTTTCAATAAACGAATCTTTTCTTCCATATTTTTTACAGAAGCAAGCTTGAAAGTAATGTCAGAAAATCGGAAAAGCAAACTGTCTAAATCGGACTGCGAATCAATATCTTCTCAAGGTGAAAATGGCGAAATGGAGAAGAGGAACGTTCCATCTGGCTCTAAAACTCATCGAAAGACGAAATCTATATCACAGCCAGTTAATAATCAACGATTATCTATGAAGAAAGCGTACGACACTGTAGAACTACGAATACCTGAGAAAAAAGAAATGTTAAGTAAAGACGAAGAGAAGAAGTGTGAAAAGATTGAAGAGAATTCTAATAATAGTCGTACAAAACTTGAATTGAAAGAACAGTTTAAATCCACGATTTTAAGAAGACATGGTGTTGCAATGATTTTTCAATGGTAATTAATTAATTTATATTTGTACACTGTATCGTCACAAGGCTTCGTACAATAATTTTGTATTTTCATTTATTCAAGGTTCACCTCTTCCATGGCGTGTTACGTTTTTATGACACTCGTTTCACCCTTACCCCTTAATCGACACATTAACTTTGCTCTAGGAGGAGCATTAGAAATTGCAACATATATATTCACGTACTTCATATTATCCAGATATGGCAGACGATTACCAATGTCTGCGTACCAATCAATCTGTGGTGTTATTTGCATCCTAACAGCAGCTACAATTATATTGTCACATCCAGTGAGAACAATCGGTAGGTGCTTACTTTTTTATCATGATAAAAGACAATAACTTTTTGTACCTTTATTTGCAGACCTCACGAAAACTATTATGCTCTTATTTGGAAGAATAACAGTGATGAGTACCGTTTTTGTAGCATATTTATACACGACTGAGATATTTCCAACTGTTATACGAGGTACCTGTTTGGGTCTCTGCACTGTATCCGCGAAAATCGGTAGTTTGTGCACACCGCACGTATTATTATCGGTAAGAATTTGCATGTTTGCAGAATTAATTTAATGAAATATGTTCTGCTGAATCGTTAGCTCGAAAAAGAATTAATTAAAAAATCTGATCTTTAATAAATTTTATTTTCAGGGAGAATATTTTCCAGTCACCATTCCATTAATAATCATTGGAATGCTTTGCTTAGTGTCTGGAGGTCTTGCATTGATTTTACCAGAAACTTTCGACAAAGTTTTACCTGACACGGCAGAAGATTTTGAATTGCTGACCGTGAAAAGAAGAGACAAAACGAACAATGATAATTTAAATAATGAAACCACAGTTACCACTGAAGATGCATCGGAGAGGGAGATACTAAGAACAAAATTGTTCTCCGAGGACTGGGTGGATGCTGGAAATGGTATATTAGTGAATTTCACGGAAAATAAAAATTCTGACTGAAAATTATAGTCAACTACAGGAAACTATACTGCATTTTTACAGGGATTATCCTCAATAATCAATAATGTTGATACAATGTTAAAAGATGAGATCACTTTATTGTACTGTTTATTGCGATTATTCGCTTTTTTATGATGTGATTAGAAATGTAAATTTTTGACTGGACATTTGCTACTTTTTATGTATATTTAATGTTGTAATATGTGATTTAGATTACTTAAGCGCAACTATATTTTTCATATTATAATAATTTCTTATTTGTTATAATGCGTTAAACATTAAACAAATTATAATAAAGCAAATTGTCACTGCCTGTTAAAACAAAAAATCATGTCTCATCGAAATCGTAAACATTTATGTCAAGGAGTAGAAGTATTTATAAATACTTTGAATTGTATACAATTCGAAATGTTAATTCTCTGTGAGTTCAATAGGTACAGTACCGAGCGTAATACGCTTCTCTAGTACTATGCTCAGTACTATACCAAAGTATTACATTTATAATCATTTAAGCATTAGGTTTAAGTAGTGTAAAAATTAAGTTAACATAAATTGCGGAAATTATTATATTGTTACACGAATACAGCCTTTTATTATTTTCGTCCTCTTAACAAATAAAAATGTGTTTTACAAAAAATATAAAGTAAAAAAAAAGAATTCAACAGTACTGCAATAACTATATTAATACAAATTGTTTAAAATGAAACAAAATGACTTACTAAAATTGGTGAAATCCACAGCATCTATTAATATCTTCAATAATTTTCCACTTTTTCCACTGACTTGAAGCACAAACAGTCATAAACATTTATGAACAGCTATTCAGGTTTCAGCATCACTCGTCCAAAATCAGATTCTACAATTTGAGTGTCTTTATTCCATTTGTTTTTGCCAATTATGCACATCTCCATTGACGTAACTAGTACCTTTTTTAAAGATAGGCCAGGTCCCCCATTATTAGAAACCTTCAAATTTTTAAAGTTTGGAAATCTGAAATTTTTGTTTTCTAAAATCTGGAAATGTGAAAATCTAAAATTTTTGAACTTAAAAAATTTTAGAATAAAGAGAGAAGCAATTTATGGGGCCAATTAATAGGGGGAGGGAGCAGCAGACCTGGCCCCTAACTAGTTATGTCAATGCAGTATCTAAATATTAACACTTTTATTTATAATTTAATATTGTTTTGAGAGTGTTAAATTTTAAACAAGAAATAGAAGGAAAGAGGAAGAAGTGTAACCACAAATATATTGCCAACATAGAAAAGTACTTTATTTGCGACTTATCAAAAAACGCTACTAAAACAATTTTGACAAGGAACTATATTATAGAGAGAACTGTAGTTTTTATGGACCCATTTAGTAGCATGTTTCATATAAATATTGTTCAAGGAACTTTAGGTTGTACAATACCATTGTTCTGAGGATTTGTATGTTGCGTTTGCTCTGCAGCTGTCTGTAACAGTCTTGTTCTACGTCTGGTATAATGTTGCCATAATAAAATCTGTTGATCATCTATAAATTTCGTACACTGAGAATTCACTACTTCTCTTCTAAAGTGTTCATATTGTAATAAGTCTAAGAAGTACAAGCACATAGGATATTTTAAATACTTTGCATATTCTGGTTCTTTCCAATATAATAAATATTTAAGATAGTTAATGAATGTTGAATCCTTGAAATATCCACGCTGTGCTAGAACTGTAATAAAATTTTTTAGTATTATTTTTAAAAGAGGTTTCAAATATATTATGATCTTCTTTGTGTATATACGTACAGTTTAAATAGTTTGGATTAGCAAGACACTGGACAAATTCTAACTCAACCTGAAATCTTAAGCGCTGCTGATCATCTGTTTCTGGGCCCCCTAAAAAAATAAATTATATTAGTATAAAGTTATAAAGTATAAGTCTCATGTCTCATATCACATCATAACATTTTATATCTTTTTATTAGTCTTGAAAAAATTATACCGCAATGATTATACTTAATTAATTTTTTCATTTATTTAACATTAACCTAAAATAAACATACAAAATACGTAAACAATACAAAACAGATAAAGAAGAAAATTATAACATTATTAAAAAATAAATACCGTTCATTCCAATGAAAGATGGTTTTCTGCCTTTCATGAGACCCGGAGGATCATCCAAACGGTTCATATTATGTACATTAATTCTTAGCGGTCGACTCTTTTCGACAAATCTAATTATAAAGTGTAACGTTTACAAAACCACCTCGTAAAATTTCGGTATACGCATCCAGGATTTTCGTATACATATTGAATCCTGTGACGTAAATTAATCATAGAGTACAGGAATATAACAAAAACAGAGAAAGCCTACGCTAGTACTACCCTGGAACTTAAAATTGCACCCTCTGGCGGTAAAAATGGAAACTAAATTCATCACGATTTTTTATCTATAGTGAGGTATATAAGAGATACATGGAGTAAGGGTTGCAGGGATGTAGGGGATGCAATGATGTAAGGGATGCAGTAATGTAGGGGTTTACTTTAAACTAATCTTAATATTATAATTCATACTGTTTCACAAATGTAATGCCACAATACAGGTACATAATATATCTTTTAATTACAGATTAAAAGATTCCTAACTATGAGTACCTTAGTACAGTATCGATTAATTTAACTTTGTAATTATATTCTAAGCACCATATGGTCGAAAGAAATTTTAACAGTGGATACTAACGCCTAAATCAGAGCGATGAAAGGAATTAGATCAGAAAATGATTAAATTAGAAAGCGTCGCGATGCGTTCATGTCCGGTGAATGCCTCTTCCATTTCAGAAGTTGCTTTCATAATCCACCGGTGTTCCTCGTGAAAATTAATTAACGTTATAACAGTACGATCGCCATATCGATGGTTCGTGTTGTGGTAAGGTACCCCCCTTACCTCTCTTGGGCCTCTTTAACGCAGCTTGGTTATTTCATATTAATTCATGCTTTGCTGCCACTGCAATTATCCTCTTCTTACGCGATCCGGTCAGCTAAAAAGTACGCCACACTTCAAACGGAAACACACGTTCTCCTAGCGTTCTAACGGAAGCCTGTAACCAAGTGGTTATACTACTGATTAATTTGTGATATCAATTAAAAATCAACGGGATTCCGTGATTCCCTCAGTCTTCGTCAAGACTCCAAATCGTTCACTAGGAGAATCGCAGGTACTCTTGTAAGTAAAATGACTTTATGCATATGATTATTATAATAATATTTCAAGAAAATGTTACAATACTAAAATATATTTACTGGGTCAAAATGCATTCGAGGGTTAGTATTTGAATCTTTTATTTATGTTTAGTTATTCGAGACATTTTCCGTGTGTAAATATATTTCAATATAACACAGTAGATCTACTGGGTCAAAATGATCCAGTTTCGTCGCACGAAGATTAACACGTTATTTATTTTTAAGTTTTCAAAACATGGTGTCCAAAAAGGTGGTACCAGCACCCTATCCCTATTCGATTGAGGAGGAGTTGAAGAAGAATCCGCAAATAAAAGTGTCGGATATAGAAATGCTAAGAGAATGGTGTGAGAAGCAACAACACTTACCCAAGATGTCGGATTTGATGCTGCTAATGTTTTTGCACAGTAATTACTTCAGCATGGAAGCAGCAAAAAACACGGTGGAAAGCTTTTTTACTATCAGGTCCCATGTTCCAGAGTTCTTTTCAAACAGGGATCCTCTGGGATCGAAGGAAGTTCGTCAGGCACTCAATACTGTGTAAGTTTATTTTTATATTTCACAGTTCAATAACTTAGTAATATCTATATCTGCTTTTTTCGTTCATGCAGAGCGGTTAGCGAATTATCGGGTGTCTCGAAAGAAGGTTACAAAGTACTCTTCGCTAAATTGGTGGATCCTGATCCATCGCATTATTCTTTCGACGATGTGACGAAATATTTTTTCATGGCATCCGATTTAATGGGACTGAGAAATGGCACCTGTGAAGGGTACATCTTTATCGGAGACTCGGCCAATGTGTCTCTGGGTCACGTGGGACGTATCAGCCCTATGGGAATTAAGAAATTGGTCATGTACGTTCAGGAGGCAATACCTGTTCGCTTGAAAGGGATACATTTTTTTAATACACCACAGGTGATGGATGTAATACTGAACATGGCGAAGCCTTTTATGAAGAAGGAACTGTGGAATATGGTAAGAATATAAAATGTTTGTTTGGATGCTGTGATTAAGTAACATTATTCAATAAACCTTACCATTTTTTTATACCGGTTGATTACGAGAGCAATAATTCATGAGTTTCTTGTATCTCGTATTTCCGATCGTTTTATGTAAAATTCCAATTATCTTATGGATTGGACTTTAGACGAAGCAATAATTTTCCGGTTTATAGAATGACAACGGAAAAATAATGAATAACATCTTGTAAAGTTGATTGCTTACTTCGTATGCCGAATGACGGATCATTTTAGCCTAGTATATAATATACACTCCGTGTACAAGGGTTAATTAACCTTTACTGCCTTAACCTGTGATCATTAATTTATTTTTCAGATTCATTTGCATTCATCGTTGAAGACGTTGGAAGAATTTGTTTCTGTTGATATTCTGCCGAACGAAGTGGGTGGTAAAGGAGGACCGATATCGTCATTGCATGATAAACAGATAAAGGAAATCGACAGTAAACGAGAATGGTTCATCGAAGAGGAGAAATTGGCTCGGGTTGATGAGTCATTGCGTATCGGCAAGAGTAACATTGCGAATGACCTATTTGGTGTTGAAGGCACTTTCAAGAAGCTCGAAATAGATTAAGACTACTTTTTTAATAATATTTTTTATAAAGACATTGAAAACACTGGTATATGTATATTATTGTTATACTACTTTTAAATGTAATTTTTTACCTACTTGATTAAAATACGCACTAAAATCGCACACCTGAGTCGTGACTGTCCCATCTATAGTAATTCGTGCAGCTATAGGCGGGGTCGGATTAAGATTACTTTGGTTCAAGAATTGAAATTTATTCTAAAGCTGTGGGCACCCTCAGATCTCCATAATTCGATGTGGAGGAGATGTTGAAAAATATCCACCGTTCTTGTATCTCAAATGCACCCTCGTAACCAGACAACACACACTAACTGCAAAAGATATAAAATTTATTTTAGTATTTGTCCGAGTTTAAAAGTTCGCCTTTAGAAGACGAAGGTTCAATCAAAACTGAGACATACGTTTCGTATTTGCTTTTAGCAACATTATACTGACAGTTGTATACATTTCTTTTTAATTCAACTTAGCAAGTGTTTTTCTTGTTATCATTATAAAATTTTCATGTCACTTCAGAACGAACCTATAATTTAATGCTTAACATTTTAATAACTAGTTTGTTAAGTGTCATGCTATACAAAATTGCAAGGTAATAACCCATTCCAAGATATTTTAAGAGTTGAACTGTGCTGGAATGACTATGGATTGCCAGTATTGTTCCAGCCGTCGACGCAATCGACAGGAAAAATTTTTCTTTGGTATTGCAGTGCTTTGTTTCTTTAAATTATAAGTGTCGTTTACAAAGAAAAAGAATTTTTAAAAAAATATTAATTTTAACAGCAATAATTTAAATTTAAATTTTGTCATTTTTATCTTCATTAAAGTTTCAACAACTTTCGAAATTGTAGGTGCCTATAGTAAGAATTATTCTAATTAACCATGGCTGTCGCTAAACCAGTGAAGTTTGAAGATTTGCTAAAAGAGAATCCAGAACTGAAAGAGGAGGATGTACAAATGTTGAGAGATTGGTGCAAGAAACAACCATATTTACCGCCAATAACCGACACTGAGTTGGCGACATTTTTGCATAGTAATTATTATCGTATGGAACCAACGAAAGCTACTATTGATACGTATTATACAGTGAGGACACACGTTCCCGAATTTTTTTCTAATAGAGATCCTTTGGGAAATAAAGATTTGAGAAAGTCCTTTCAGACAATGTGAGTATATAGAAAATTTCAAGACTATTTATAAATTTTTCAATAAATTGTATTAGATATTAAAGTCATCTTAGAGGCTTTAAAATAATAGAGCATAATAGAGATGAAGATGCTCTTTACCGTCATTATAATAATTTCTTGCTGGTATAATATGAAACATTGTAGGAAGAATACTGATATTAATATCAAGGACACTGCACGAATAACGTCACAATGATGTAAAATGTTACGGAACACTGTCCATCTTCACGATCATTATTTCTCTAATCCAGAATTATCTTCTTGCATATCACTTTAATTACTAGTTGCACGCACAAAACATCATGCTATATCTTTAACTCATGAAGTATGTCGTACCTTTAGATTAATCATTGTAAACTGTACGATTAACGCGGTAGTTAGATAGAGGGTCATTTTGATCCATAAAAATGTCATTGAACACTATTGTATACAAAATTTAAAATACATTTAACTCTCGATACACTCAAATCAGTTATGCATTAACCCTGCATTCGGCGTACGAATGTTAAATAACAATAATCTTGAATTGAAGAAAAATAAAGAAGTTTTGAATAATTCGGAATCGTATTCACCGAAATTTTTTGGCCTTTTTCAGTACCATGCAAATATTGGATAAGAAAACGCCAGAAGGTTACTCGATTCTTTATGGAGCACTACGTGATCCAGAACCATCACATTACGTCTACAACGATGGAACTAAATTTCTCACCATGGTCGTAGATTTGTGGCTTTACATAGAGGGTACAACACCGGGTCATATAATTTTATTCGACATGAAAAATGTTGTATTTGGTCATGCTGCGCGGTTAAGTCCCATGGGATTGAAGAAGTATCTTTATTACTTGCAAGAAGGATTGCCAGTTCGTCTAAAAGGGCTCCATTTCATGAACATCACATCTGTGATGGATGTGATACTCAACATGATGAAGCCGTTCATGAAGAAAGAATTATTGGACATGGTAACATAATTTAATTATGAACTATTAATTTGATACTTTATCGATTAAATTCATTGTACATTTCAGCTTCACACACATACAAATTTGGAGACGTTGTCGAAATTCCTTCCTTTAGACGCACTTCCGAACGAAACCGGTGGAAAAGCGGGCCCAACGGCGCAGCTTCACGAAAAGACGATCAAAGCACTTGAAGCAAATCGTGATTGGTTTTTGCAAGACGAACAAACGAGACGTGTTAACGAATCGTTGAGAGCTGGCAAAGGGAAAACAGCTTCTGATCTTTTTGGTGTTGAAGGAACATTTAAAAAACTCGAAATCGATTAAATAAAAATAATTGTTGCAATAATTTATAAATACATCTGTATAAATGTTCTTCCATTTGTAATGTACGTTATTTGAACTTAACACTTTTATAAAAGAAAAGTTGCACACGCAGTGAAAGGCATATCGATAAATGAAAATCTTGTCAACCGCTTATAAAGCTTATAATATTATAAATTTAGAATTTGTAACATATTATTTGTAATAAATCACATGGTTCATTTTTTCAAAGGGAAAAATAATTTTTTTCTCATCGTCAATGAAAAATAAATTTAAGAAATATGGTGAATGTAATGAAGTTTCTGATTTCAAAAGCCTTGTATAATTTCTATATTGATTTATATAATTTGGAATGCGAAGGAATGTCTATTACGTTCGAAGAAGAGCCAATGTTAAAACAGGCTTAACACGTATTGCCTCCACCTTTTCGTCGATTTCTTATATTTACTTTCACTGGTAGACACTGTTCTCTCAGTTTATGTCGGTTCGTGTTAAAGAAGGTGTCCACCTGCATGCACGATGAAGAATCTAATGGTAAGTATTTCGATTCCATAATAAATCTATTCGATAAAAAAACTTTCTAATTAACATTTGATATTTAATATTTGTACATATGTATAATGAAAACTAATATCAAAGTCTTAATATATAAAAAATATAAGAATACAATAAAAAGATGAAAATATGAAGATATTCTAAGATCACAGATTTTCAATTTGGATCCAATTAAGTATTTCTAGATGATTCGATCACGATATTTAATTGGATTGAAATTTTTCTAAATTAGATCGCAATCGTTCTGATAAGCCCCTGCCTGGGGGATGTATCGCATATTTTGTCAGAATACTCGACAACGACCACTACCACACCTCCACCGCCTCCTAGACCTTACAGCTTCAAATACCAAGCAGGACGCTATCCTGGAAAGGTGGATAGGGTTCATCAAGAACGTGGAGATGGCGCTGGGCATGTTCAAGGTAATCACAGAATATCCAATGTTAAAGTAATTTAATAAAAGATTGATTTTAACTTATTGTCATTGGCATAATTATGATTTTTTCTCAGGTGGGCCAGGTCCCTTAGAAATTTAGAAATTTTAAAGTTTTGAGATTTTACAATTTTCAAATTGTAATTTCGAAATTTTAGAATGATAAGGGAACCACAATTTTATTGCTCATTCTGACCCTCACATAGTTACGCCAATACTCATTATCAACGCTATCCAAATTTCTAAATGTACCAGTGTCTTTGCAGGTGCTTATTCCTTCATTGATCCCAAGCATAAAGTACGGACAGTACACTACACCGCCGACGAAACTGGATTTCATGCATCCTTGATAAATTACGAGGACACGGTTGCTCAACCGGTCGATTCCGAAGCAGTGAGGCTCGGTAAGGAGAAACACTTTCGACTTTATCAGAAGATAGCCGAAGCAAATGCCCACAGTGTACCAACAAATCTTCCAAAGGTAATCTTGGAAACAGAATAATTTTCTAATGTAAATTGCATTAATTTCATATTCATGTATACATTAATGTACTTCAATTCTGCATGTTTAACATTTTGCTTCGCTAATTAATTATTGTATTAACCATATGTTAGTATGTAATAGAAAGAGAACGCTGCACAAGGATTCCTTGCGTTCTTGTCTATTCACGCATGCGCAGCCGCTTGTACAGTAAGAAATACAAAAGTCTTACAATTCCTGATATTTACATTTTCTTAATAAAATACAAATTACATAATTAAAAAATTTAATCTATATTCCACAGATAGTTTGAAACAGTAGCTTTCACTTAATAATCGAGTGTGTTGTTTTGCAGGATTCCGTGAGCGTGGGGAGAGCGAAGGACAGGCATATTCAACTCTATCAGAAGATTGCCGAGGAACATGCTGCAATTGCAGCTCAAAGAGAAGCCGAACAATTAGCTTACGAGGCTACCTCTGTTGTAAATGATGTAAATCCGGACCACGTGTATTAACCTTGTTACATAAGCTAAAATATGCAATTGCGTTTTAATCTAGTATTAAAAACTCTATATATATTTTATTACAAATTCAAGAGACTCAATATTAATGAGCAATTAGGTTTTAAACGAAGCAAATAATATTTGAAGAGATCGTTTTCTTTAACTGCGTACAGTGTTATGTACAGAAATAATATTCTATATTGAACTATGTAAGATGTTTTTATTATAACAAGAAGTATCCTACTTTTTAAAAAATAAAATTCAAGAAATGGAAATGATGTTTGATGGTTGAATATATTAGGTGTATATACAGGGTGTTCGACAACAGGTGGGCAAAATTTTAAGGGGTGATTCTAGGGATCAAAATAAGACGAAAATGAAGAATAACGAAATAGTGTTTGCGGCTTTGTTTTCCAGTAATTAACGTTTAAACATTCGAGTAAAAAGCGCCTGAAACCTGCAACCCGCTCTGCACCGACGACTGAACATCAGGTCAACAGGGGTCGGTAGAGTCATAACCAAGAAGTTTCTACTATTCAACGATTTTTGGCTATGACTGTACCTTCCCCTGTTGACTTGACGAACTAAAAAATTACTATAGTTATACGTTCTATATGGTAATATTGCAATCCCGAAAATACTTTTCTGAATTTAAACTATTGTTTCCCAATTAAAAAATATATAAATCTTTTTATAGTAGCTCTTAGCTTGATATCGCTTTCTAAAAGTTATCTTCAGAAAACGATATCAATTACCAGGTCACACCACGTGGAGGTGGCTACGTTAGTGACCCACCCTAAAATCATAAGAACGTGAAACCATTCAAAACAGACAACATAAAATAAAAATTTAAGCAATACAATCTTGAAATAGAAAATAAAATTAACATCGTAATATCAGAAACAATTGAGAAAATAATAATAATTTAACAATAAAATGCTGTAACGGAAAACATAATTATTAGGATTAGATATACAATAACGTGAAGCCATACAAAACAGACAAACTAAAATAAAAATTTAAACAATACAATCTTGAAATAGGAAATAGAATTAACATCCTAATATCAGAAACAATTGAGAAAATAACAATTCAACAATAAAATGCTGAAATAGAAAATATAATTAACATCATCATTTCTGTAACAATTAACAAAATAACAAGATAACAATTCAACAATAAAATGCTGAAATAGAAAATATAATTAACATCCTAATATCAGAAACAATTGAGAAAATAACAATTCAACAATAAAATGCTGAAATAGAAAATATAATCAACATCATAATTTCTGTAAGAATTAACAAAATAACAATTCAACAATAAAATGCTGAAATAGAAAATATAATTAACATCATAATTTCTGTAACAATTAAAAAATAATTCAACAATAAAATGCTGAAATAGAATATATAATTAACATCATAATTTCGATTACAACTGAAATGAAAAATGCTGAAACAGAATATATAATTACCATTACAATCTCAGGGTAGGTTTTAAATAAATAGAACATAATTAAAATAAGAACATGAAATATAATTGATGTGCAAATCAATAAGAAAAGAATAATTTATTTCAATAAAGCAATAAACGAAAATGAAATAGCGGAAATAAAATCGCGAGTTGACCATTCAACGAGCTGGGTATTGAACTCGTAAAATGTCGAGTTCAATACGTCCTGGACGGTATTATTCATACCGTTCAAGGAAAAACACAAAAAATGAAAAAACAAATTAGCGAGCATAGTGACAGAATGACTGTCCATCCGAAGATGGAGAGCCATTAGTAGTTCCCCTCTTCTGGGCAAATTTTGCCGGGGCTCTTCAGCATATAGCCTCTTCTTTCTTCGGCAATAGCCTCACAAAAATCACTCGCGAAAATTTTACGTTTGCTCAGACATTTGTAAAAACGTAACATGTAAACGAGCAACGATCCCTTGAATCGGTACTCGCATACCTGCACAATTTTTGCAAATGTCCAAGCACAAAACACTTTTTAATTTCACTTCACTTCACTGCACTTTCACTTTAATACTTCATTTTTGTAATCGGGTCTAGTACCACGACTACGACTTACAAACTAATAAGGCTTGGCCTTGAAAAAATCAAGAGAGAATGCTAAATTAATTAATTGATAAATTAATTAAATTGCATTTTCATCTTTTCTCTTGATTTTTGGTTTCCCAACCCCAGATACAAGCTTCTCACGTATTAGAGGAGAATACGAAGAGAAACATGAAAGCTTGCTCTGGCCCTGCCTACTTATAAACTAAACTCAATCACACCAGAAGTAAACTACCTGCCTGCCTATCGCTATATTTAAAAAAGGGCAAAAATCATTCTCACAAAAATTCACTCCACGGTTCTCATACAACCACCCGGGTGCAAAAATGCCTACACCTAGAGAGAACGTCCCGGGACGCCTCCGACACCCGAGTTCAATTCAACTTTCACACTCTAATAAAATCATACCTTTTTGCTGAAATCGACTGACAAATAATAGTGAACATTATACTAAAGTAATACAATTCATTTTCGTATTCTATTGAATTATCTAATGTAAAAATTTTTCAATTTATTCTTGATAAGTATTTTGTAATGTTATAGTAAGTTAAGATTGTTAATAAACGATACAAATCCCACATCCTAACCACACACACACATGTGGAACTTCTATCGTGGTTCACTATTGGTTCACTACTTTTGTCAGTCGCCAAAATATATTACACTTAAAACTAAACCTTGTCCACCGCCCTCCACCCACGCGAGTACATCTAAGTACCCGAATGAGCTTTGGGCATAAAAATGAACAAGGCCAAAGGTATTTTCACCTACCAGTTTTCTTCATGTGTGCTGAAATGCCTAAGCTAAAACGTATGATTAGCAAAAACTAAAGATGATATTCTCACTTTATTAAAAGTAAGAATATCGGCGAAATTTCACGGCTCCGATTTAGTATATGGGCTGGCCCCCCAGGGGGTTTTATTTTTAATAAAAGTGACTCGACTTTGCAAACATAAAGCTTGAAGAGCAAATAGAAAAGCAAAAAAGCAAAACAGAAAAGCGAACAGAAAAGCAAAATTGAGCAACTATGACATAAAACATGGTGCACTGTTAATATCAGTTGGCAACGGAGGTTCTTAGGCCCCCTGGACTTGCGCCCTACGCTACATACCACCCACCCCGCCTGGACGTCGTAACGCCAGGACAGGATGCACCCCTTCGCTAAGAGCGCTACCCGCCCGTCCAACACGTTGCATCCAACGTGTCAGATTGACGGACGCCCATAGTATAGACAAAAGGACTGCAGTTTAGAATATGGTAACATATTTGCATATGTTCCGTATTCTAAAACTGCGCCTGCAAAGGCCTAGTAATGCATGGGTTTATCTCCCATGAGATGGTGTTTCACGGTCTTATGCCGCGGAATCCTTGTAACTAATTTGATTAAATAAATAAAATATTGGATTGAGTTTAAAAACCAAAAGGATTCCCACTAAATACTAGTCAGTGCATTGTCATATTTACTCTCGCGTTGGAAATTTTTCGCAACACTAATCAAAATAGAAAATCCTGATCTAAAAACATGACTAGTACATAAACCTCTAACGGGCTAATATTTCACTATACTGATGAATGATGAGTGTGAATGATGAGTGTGAATGATGAGTGTTTAGGGTCGAGAACCGTGAACGTGACAGAATGAATTTCAAGTACGAAAGAAAACCTATATAGAATGCTTGAAGAGCAAATACTGAAAAGCAAAATAGAGCAACTATGACGCAAAAATGGTGCACTTCTAATATCGGCTGGCAACGGAGGTTTTCGGGCCCCCTGGACTTACGCCCGACGCTACATACCACCCACCCCGCCTAGGAAAGGATGCACCCCTTCGCTAAGAGCGCTACCCGCCCGTCCAACACGTTGCATCCAACGTGTCAGATTGACGGACGCCCATAGTATAGGCAAAAGGACTGCAGTTTATTAAATGGAACCTATGGATGGGCGCCACATCCTAAACTGCGCCTTGAAAGGCCTAGTAATGCATGGTTTTATCTCCCATGAGATGGTGTTCACGGTCTTATGCCGCGGAATCCTTGTAACTAATTTAATTAATTAAATAAGACATTGAGTTTAAAAACCAAAAGGATTCCCACCGAATACTAGTAAGTGCACTGTCATAGCTACTCTCGCGCTGGAAATTTTTCGCAACACTAATTAAAATAGAAAATCCTGATCTAGCAACATGACTAAAGGGGAGCTTTAAATTATGCTTAAAGAGCAAATACTGAAAAGCAAAATTGAGCAAATATGACTCAAACATTCGTCCACTGCTAATATCAGCTGGCAACGGAGGTTCTTAGGCCCCCTGGACTTACGCCCGACGCTACATACCACCCACCCCGCCTGTTTAAGGCTCTAGGCCCAGGCAGGGTGCACCCCTTCGCTAAGAGCGCTACCCATCCATCGAACACGTTGCATCCAACGTGTTCGAGTGATGGACGCTCATAGTATAGGCAAAAGGACTTTAAGACAGCTTAGCGTATGGGATGCAACATACTTAAATGTTCCGTACTCTATGGCTGTGCCTGAAAAGGCCTAGTAATGCATGGTTTTATCTCCCATGAGGTGGTGTTCACGGTCTTATGCCGCGGAATCCTTGTAACTAATTTTATCACATAAAAACCAAAAGGATTCCCACCGAATACTAGTCAGTGTATAGTCATATTTACTTTCGCGCCGGAAATTTTTCGCAACACTACTTAAACTTGAAAATTCTAACGGGGTAATATTTACCCTCGCGTTGAAAATTTTTCGCAACACTACTTAAACTTGATAATCCTAACGGGGTAATATTTACTCTTGCGTTGACAATTTTTCGCAACACTACTTAAACTAGAAAATCCTAACGGGGTAATATTTACTCTCGCGTTGAAAATTTTTCGCAACACTACTTTAACTTGCAAATCCTAACGGGGTAATATTTCACTACACAAGGGTATGCGGGTGGATAAACGATTATGTGATAGAGTTCATGAGGCTGAAGTGCGAATGATGAGTGTTTAGGGTCGAGAACCGTGAACGTGACAGAATGAATTTCAAGTTCGAAAGGGGAACTTTATACAATGCTTGAAGAGCAAATATTGAAAAGCAAAATTGAGCAACTACGACGCAAACATGGTGCACTGCTAATATCAGCTGGCAA